GGCGGGGAGGAGGACGTATTGAACAGGTGAAGAAAACCTTTTACACAAGAAAATTAGACTTCACACAGTTCTTACAATATCAAAAATAAGCTTCACACAAAATAATAATGGTAGCTAACCCACAAAATAACCTTTTCATATGGCATTTATTCAAAGTAGCAGATCCAACAAGTGGAATACTAAGGTCTAGGTGAAGCTTTGTACATGACAACAAATAAAACATAAAGTTCAAAAACTTTCAAAAATACAAAAAATGTGACATCGCAATAAGGAAAATGAAGACGGTAGTTGCATTTTCAAAACAATGAACCATCAATCCAACTTCCACAATAGAAGTTATAACACGACATGAGGAACTGTCTTGACAAAATTGAACACAAATATGATTCATAATTAAGATCAAAATTTCGTTTTGAAACAGCCGGAACGTTTCTGTTTCCATATATGACGAAATAAATTAATCATTAAATCAAAATTTCAATGGGGTAAATTACATTCACCTTTCATGACGTTTGGTAAAATAATAACCAAACCCCTTCTTGTTTAGGAAATAACACTAACCTCCCCTGTTAGTAACGTTCGTCTCATTTTAATAACAGAATTGAGTAAAGGACTATAATAGCCTTGTCTCTTATCTACCAAAAGTCATCTTCCCCATTTTCATTTTCTCACCCAATCAACCTCATTAGAACCACCACCACCAACCACCCAACCTATTCCTCAACCACCACCACCACATGTGCACACACAATTGCACATTATTTACACCTACTTCAACATTGTGCTTAATTCACCACTCAAAACCACAAAAAATACCCAAACCACCTCCACACCGCCACCACCACCATACACCCTAAAAAGACAGTACACGAGCACAATACCCAAGCCATCACTGCGTCATGGCACCACCACATCACCACTACTCCACCAGCCTCAACCCAACCATTACCACCACCACCGCACTACCAGCCTGACACCCGATATCCCAATCAAACCCCACTTATAACCTCATAAAACTACCATAATCCAAAACCACTCCAACAGAACAACCACCCTCGCTACTTATCACCAACAAAATACCTACCCCTACATTGCAATTGGAAAACACAGTCAACCAACTGATGGAGGATGGAATTTCTGGGCAGATGATGGTGGTAGTGATGCTGAACGGAGTTGTGATTTTTGGTGGTAATTTAACTGGGAGGGGGGCATTAGGGTTTCAGGTGGTAGTAAAGCTGATGGTGGTGGGATCTTTGGCATGGAGAGGGTATTGGTAGTGTGGAGAGACAACAAAGAGAGAAAATAAAAAGGGAGAAGATAGAAAGGGTATTGTTTGACCATAAATGTTAGGTTGTCTTTAACATGGATGTGGATTGTTTGGCAACAAATTGACTTTGGCTATAATCTATATAAGGGCAATATTGGAATTTTGAAAAAATAAATTGCTTACATTAACAAATTATTGACGTCTCTCTAACGGAACAGTAACGATTGGGGGAATATGTTACAAACACTCAAACCAGAAAAGAGTGCAGTGTTATTTTCCAAACAAGAGGGGGTCAAGTTGTTATTTGACCAAACCTCAAGGGAGGTGGATGTAATTTACCCATTTCAATGTTTTGAGGCGTTTCAGAATGTTTCGAGCTGTTTCAACCAATGTTCCAAAATATTTCGAGGTGTTTCTAGCTATTTAGAAGTATTGCAAAAGGTTTTAACTAAGATGTCTCAAGGTGTTTCAACATGTGTTCAAAACATTTTGGAAATAAATTCCTAAATTTTTTATTAGTTTCCATTATAACAAAATTGTCCTAATTTGGCTGTCAATTTCTAAAGAATTAATTACACATGATTAGGTTCTAACACCCTCTATGCATCAAAATGTAAAATGTTTTCTACTATTACAATCTTTAAATGCAATTCATAATGACAATAGTCATATCGAGAAAAATATATTTAACAAATTCGACAACGCCTTATTTCTGAATGTTAGAATGTTATTTGGGACAATAAAATAATGTGAATTTTGAGGGACAAAGAAATAAGTCATATCCTGTCATAAACAATCTTTTGAATTTGTAGTTTTATTGATCATTCAGTTTGTTAGCATCTTCATACAGATAACAAAAATTACTTACACTTTTGAAAGTGTGTCACTAGATTGTGTACAACAATACAAGGGATGAAAACTTTAGTTAGCCTTCATCTCACATCACATTTTGATGTAAACAACTAATTTCAAGTCAAATTGAAGTAGGTCGTGAGATAAAAGAGATCCATTTACTTTGTGTTTACAACTAAGGAAAACAACAAAATTTGAAAAGTAAATTTTAAAAATATTAATTGGGGTCTAGGAGGGGTAGATTAGATTACAATCCTATTTTTTGGCATTACTTGTAATGGTTGCCCTTATATTTGAACCCACAACCTTAAGGTTATTGGACTGAATTTTTAGCGCTTAAGCAGTGGCCCTGCTAAAAAGTCAACGTTGTGACACTATTTCTTAATAACTTGGTATAATCAATGATTGTTCAAATGATTGTTGTGAAAAGTGCTTGCACAACAAAAATCCAAATATTTTTTTGATAAGAAGCAAAGGTCCAAATATAATGAAAGGATACCGATCAATCATCTATCACAACCAATTGTTAGATGATACAACCAGTGAAAAGTAAAATCAATGATCAAAATTGTGTTTTGAATAGAAGAAATTTTGATGTTTCTAAGGAAACCGAAACAAATCAATCATTGAATTAAAATTTCAATACTTGGAGGCATTTTGGAATGTTTAGAGGTGTTTTGGCATGTTTCCACTAATGTTTCGAAATGTTTTGAGATGTTTCAAGATATTTTAGCCAATATTTCAGAATATTTTAGAAATGAATTCCTAATTTTTTTTTCCTTTTCCATTATGTTTCCGAAATATTTCTATATTCTTGGAAATTGATACAATATAACGAAACAAAATTTTGAACATCCGGTAAAATATAAGTAATATCATTCCCCTACAATATTTACACCCTTTCAAACCAAATTAAGTTACTACCCAAAATCTTGAGATATTCTTTGAATCCATCTAAGATAAATATAGAATACTTCCATGCAATTTTTTTTTTTTATGGGAAACAAACTCCAGTATTAATAAATAAAAGATAGAGTACCTAAAGAGAGGTTGGATAAGATATCCAACCAAGAAAATGAAAAAACAATGATTAATAAAATGCCTATAAATCACATGAATCTCTCCAATCTATAGCTAAAATAGCAACAAACGAAATTCCTCTAAACTCTTTTGAAATCGAAACCCAAAAAGATATTAAGAAATGAATACATTCGCATAGTCCCTCCATGCACTCGCTCATCTTAAAAAATTCTGGTGTTTTGTTCCTTCCAAATAACCCCAAAATTAACCATGATAACACAATTCCAAAAAATAATACCTTCCTTTATCAAACCTTCCAACACATTTCACATCTTCAACAAACAAGGAAGATTATGTTTGCTGGAATCACCCCACTCAAATCCCACCACTCAAAACAAATGATGTCACAAAGTCAAGACAACCGGACAATGTAAATATAGATGATCAATAATCTCAAAATCACCTTTATACATCAAACACCACTAAGAGGAAAGACAAGTATGAGGCCTACTTTCTTGAAGCATATCATTAAGTGTTAATCTTGCCACGTGCTACCGTCCATGCAAAAACTAGTCCTTTAATAATAGGCACTTTAGCATTTCAAATTAGAAAAGAAAGGATATGAATTTTCATCCAAAGCAGTGGTAAAGAAAGGAAATGAATTTTCATCCAACAAATAATCACAGAAAGACCTACATGACAAGACTCCCGAAGACTCACCAATCCATCTTTTTGTATCACTAGACTCTTAATTAACAATGACATTATTAAGAATATCAATAACAAAAATCAAATCAATAACGTCTCCATCATCAAAATTCCTACGAAAACCAATGCCCCAAAAATATGGATAATGATATAACCTAATCACAGATGCAACGGAAGAATTATGAGAGGAAGACAAATGATAGAGACAAGGAAAGGGAAGACTCTCCCCACCCCAACATCCTCCCAAAAGCGAATTGTCTCCCCATTACCCACTGCAAATCTTACATTTTGGGAAAACCTCTTCAATCATCGAGAAATGAATTTCCATGAACATCATAAACTACCCCTCTCAACCTTATTAAGTCTCCATTTATTGACATGTAATTCATATTTACTATTGATAACTAAATGCCACAGAGAATTTAATTAAAAGGAAAACCTCCAAAGCCACTTGACACTCGAAGGATGACAACCTTCATATTAGTTAAACAAAACAATGGTACAAATACCATTTGAAAGAGGACAAGTTGTCCAACCAAATGATTAGTAAAAGTGTAAAACATAATATAAAAGGCAAAAGCTTGAAAATTGGATCCATGTTACAGTCCGCATGATATCATCCAACTCGCTGTGATACTAAGTAGAGAAATATTATCAAAATCCTTTGTCACAGATGCCCAAAAAGAAGCCAAGAATAAAGCCGATCCCATAAGGCCTCAACATTCTCCCACTTATCTTCAAAGATTCTCATTTTTCTCTCCATCCATAAGACATCAAATTGTTACAAAAAAAACACAATGCTAATTAGTTTTCCCTCTTCTACTTCCTCCCAAACCTAAAAAATCCAAGCAAATCGTAGATAGTATAGATCTCAGAGCCACCTAACAAAGACCAACTAGCACAGATAATTTATTCCATAATGATAAAGCCATGGGGCAATGCAAGAATAGACGATCCACACTATTACCATACCCTTTACACATAACCTATGAAGCACGGATACTTCATCAAGGTCGACGTACCCGTATTGGATACGATACTTGTCGGAAACTCGATGATACATATCGGATACGCCTTATCCATATCCGATAATTAATAAAATATGTGAATACTTTGTGGATACTTCTAAACATGGAGTAAGATGTACAACTTTCAATTTTAAATTATACCCCTTCTTTTGGAGTTCATATACAATATAAAAAAATGAGTCACTTACACTATACTTTTAAAAATAAATACTTGTAAAACCAACTAGTTAAATGTGGTTATGATTCTTTCAATTGGTCATGTTCATTTTATGAGCATATCATAATGAGACGATATTACATTTTTTTCATGGTAAAAATTTCTAATTTCACTTACTAATGTTAAAGAATTATTGAAAAATTATAATTTTTAAGTCGTTAAATAATAGTAAAATATAAAATATATTTTATTATAAACATATCTTGGCCGTACCCGTATCCTGTTTTTTTAAGTTTTGTCGTATCGTACCCGTGTCAAGTATCCGTATCCGTGCTTCCTAGCACATAACACACCACTGAGGTGTAAGAAATGTCTTAAATCTCCATCTTTCAAACACATTATTAGTATTAATCATAACATGAGTGATTAGCCATGTACAAACTTGCACCTTTAGAAGAATCAATCAAGTGATCCTTCTCCCCTTCCCCAATACCTTCCCACAAGAAATCCCTCATCATTTTTCAATTCTCAACGCTTCTTTCCCCAGTAATTTAAATAAAGATAAAAGTACTTCTATGCAATGTGATTTGAAAGTCCGATACATCCACAATAATAATACTATATAATAAAGTTCACTACACTGAAATAAGATTTTGAAAGAGAATGAATTCGTCCCTTTCAAGAGATTAACGCTCCCTACCACCCTACAACATACATTTAATGGTAACATCCCCATGATAGAAACAACTGTAGCGTAGCGGAGTTTTTTCCGGATCACTTTCTCTCCTAAATTAAAAGACACGCATGTTTAAGTAAAAAATACACAAGGATGGACTTCTAATGATTTTCCTTATGAATTTTATTTATAAATATAACTGGGACATGTTGAATGAATTATTTTACTTCCTAAGTTGCTAATATGGAGAAAAACACATTGTGTGAAGCATGTTACTAGAACATACTTCAACTACTTATATTGTGGAGAATCCTTGAAGTTTTACTCAAGTCTTTCCTCAAAAAAATGATGTGAAGAATTCATGTCTTTCCTTTTTCCTTTCATGTAACAGGTATCTTGAGTAATCAAGCTGTGAGTAGGCATCAAAGACACTGTTGGTGATATAAGTAGAGATGTATATTGTAATTTTCTTACATGTAAAACCTTTTTTAAGCGCGAACAATTTTTTAAAAAATTCTACATAAAAGGATGATGAATTACAGACCTTTAGATTGACCCCAAAGTTAAAATAAAGAGAACATAAATAGTCACAGAAGTTTTGAGGAAGAAGAACTGAGGGTATACCTTTGCCGTTGCCCAAAACTGAGCAAAATCAGCTACCCGCAGATTGCGGTCATCCACTAAGACGAGGCACACATACCAGCAACAAATGGGTCAATTGGCGAACATAACTGCATCTGTAGTTAGTGAAAATGAAGGCAGTGCACAGGCACTGCATCACTACTAAATGTTTATATCTGTATTAGACTAGATCTTTGAACTTGTACGCCAAGACAAGTGAGCAAAATTGGAAGTCATTCTTCAGATTATGTCATTTGAACTTATGGTTTGGTCTTTTGATGTAAAACTCCTTCAGTTTCCTAAACTAAACAAAATTTATAGCATGCTTGTATGCACAGAAGCTCCACAAGGGACAATTGCAACAAAGTTGAAGCTGCATATCGCAGCAGATATAAACAATCGAATACCAAATTTTCCTCAAGTCATTAAAGAAAAATAAAGCAATGTCACTGAATTGAAGACAATTTTTTTCCAACAAAGGATGCAAGTAATTCCATGTTGAATGAAATGAAGATCTAAACTATGATAAAATATGAGAATAATATGGTGGAGATAAAAACAAAAGTAATACACGAGTTTAAGCAACATAAGAAAAGCTTTCAGATTGAAAATAATTTGTCATTTCAATGCAGAAAACTCATACCAATAACGAAGGAGAAAACCCCTTCATCAAGGGTCTTCTTAAACGCCTTCAACATGCTTGATCGATATGCCTGAGGCAAAGACAAAATGTTAAGCATAGAAATTATATAGATAAGAAATATTCATTTCACAGAAAAACGAAATCTTCATTTGACGTTATGGCTGACTTGCAAGTGAAGAAAACTAAGCCTACAATAAATGACTCAAGAAAATAAGTTTAGCCATTTAAAAACCTTAAATATGACAGCAAGTATAATCAAATCCACCTCATTCGATAGTTACTATTATCAAATTATGAAAGCTATTCGGCTATCTCATATGGTAACACAAAGTTAACATGAAGAAAGAAACTGTTAGCATCATCAATGTAACCCTTATATGGAGCAACTATGTAAAGGAGAATACACCATAAAGACTACATATATTCTTAATTCCTAGTTACATGGACAATCACCTCCATGTATGAGTACATAACACTTCACATATTACATTCAACAAAGGAAGCCATGCTTAACCTTTGTTCAGACAAACATAGCACAGCAAACTCAAATCCTTGGGATGAAATCATGATTCAAAAACAATAAAATATCTCTGCTTTTCATATCCAGTGACTGTAACTTTGTTAAGAAAAGTTCAACAATTTTTTTTTGTTAGAAAAATATACGCTACTCAAAAATCATGTCCAAAACATAACTCAAGCATAAGAAAACTAGTCTGACCATTATTACATTGCAAAGAAGTACACACAAAAAGGAACAAGGGATTGCTGCTAAAAATCGACATCTGCTACTACTCGTTGGATTGTCTTTCAATGTTCGTAAATCCTTTCACTTCTAGACCCCTTGTATCCATGGAAAACACTTGTTTTATTTTGGTCCCTCGTGCTCCAATTATATCATCATGATCCTTAAAGTATGATATTTGATTTTTAAATGGTCCTTCTATTGAATGCTGCCAAAATAAAGTCAGTCATGTGCACATGACATGAACCTACTAAAGGGGCATCTGATGAAAAGTGTCCAGGAAGCATGGATACGAATATTGGTACTATATGATCTAGATACAACAATATGAAAAAACCTAAAAAAGATAGTATAATGATACGACCAGAATACGTTTATAATAAAATATGTTATATTTTTAATATTATCTAATGATTAATAATTATAATTTTAGTAATTGTTTAACAATAATGAGCAAAATCAACAATTTTTACTTTCAAAAAGGTATGGATCGTCTTATTAAGATATATCCACTAAGTGATTATGACTAAGTAATGGAATCAAAATGCACATTTAACTAGTTGATTTGCTTAGATGTAGTTTTTGCAAAGATTATAGTGTAATTAATTCAATTTATAATCTTTTGGCATATGATAGTAGATAATAATTAAAAAACTCTCATGTGTCTTTAAAGTTACATGAATTTTGTTGATATTTTGCATTGTATGTATATTCGAAAAGAGGTGATAAAGATTAATTAAAATTAAACATTATTTATAATACTACACGTATAGAAGTATCCACATATTTTATTTATTATCAGATACAAATAGTGTGTATCCGAAGTGTATCATCGAGTATATGATACGATATTCGATATGGATACGCTGACCTTGATGGAGTATACATCCTTTATAGAAAGTAAATAAAAGACACTTTGGCCCCTGAGTTTTGTCAAAACAACATTACAACTCTTGACATTCACAAAATAACATGGGGACCTCAACCAGAGATTTTAGGTGACAAATCACTTATTTCCTCTTTAACTCCTTGGTCCAAATTAATCAAAAATATTGATTAAAATTGGTCGATCCGTTTTTCCCAATAGCCTTTTCCTCTTCCTTAAGAATACACCCCCAAAAAACACACAAGGTGAAACATACTGTGACTATAAGGTACAACCACCATCAATAGTTTGACAAAACCAATGCCATAGTTAAAATCCCATCGAAATCAATTCTAATTCCACGTTCAATAAACTCATCCTTGAAATTTGTGTCATTAGTAAAAACACACAAATGCACATTACAAACACACACATAAACATATATTTGTTGTCATGATTGAATCAGAAGATGGAGGTACAACTTAAATGAGTCGCGGAAGGGTTAGGGGCTATAAATGGAAAGAAGGAGTTGCAATTGGTCTGGAGCGAGAATGGAGGAGAAGAAGAATGGAGATTTTTTAATACATATGCTTTTGTTCCAATGGAAATTAATTGCTTCTAATACAAAATAAATTTAGAAACAATATTATTTTGTTCCAATGAGGACATGTCAAACATTATTTCTATTTACATAATCTGTTACGATGAAGGAGAGGTTTGTCTGTTGCAACTTTTCAAAAGCAATGGGTGATGGCATACAAATGTCAACAAAACTCAAGGAATCCTAATGGAGGTTGCCCAAAAAACAATTTGACTTGTTTTCTTTTATTATTTTAATCTTCCTAAATTTTTCTCTCATACTCTCTCGATCCGTTTGCACAAGAGCAACCAATTGCTACCCCATGACCATCCNTATACATCCTTTATAGAAAGTAAATAAAAGACACTTTGGCCCCTGAGTTTTGTCAAAACAACATTACAACTCTTGACATTCACAAAATAACATGGGGACCTCAACCAGAGATTTTAGGTGACAAATCACTTATTTCCTCTTTAACTCCTTGGTCCAAATTAATCAAAAATATTGATTAAAATTGGTCGATCCGTTTTTCCCAATAGCCTTTTCCTCTTCCTTAAGAATACACCCCCAAAAAACACACAAGGTGAAACATACTGTGACTATAAGGTACAACCACCATCAATAGTTTGACAAAACCAATGCCATAGTTAAAATCCCATCGAAATCAATTCTAATTCCACGTTCAATAAACTCATCCTTGAAATTTGTGTCATTAGTAAAAACACACAAATGCACATTACAAACACACACATAAACATATATTTGTTGTCATGATTGAATCAGAAGATGGAGGTACAACTTAAATGAGTCGCGGAAGGGTTAGGGGCTATAAATGGAAAGAAGGAGTTGCAATTGGTCTGGAGCGAGAATGGAGGAGAAGAAGAATGGAGATTTTTTAATACATATGCTTTTGTTCCAATGGAAATTAATTGCTTCTAATACAAAATAAATTTAGAAACAATATTATTTTGTTCCAATGAGGACATGTCAAACATTATTTCTATTTACATAATCTGTTACGATGAAGGAGAGGTCTGTCTGTTGCAACTTTTCAAAAGCAATGGGTGATGGCATACAAATGTCAACAAAACTCAAGGAATCCTAATGGAGGTTGCCCAAAAAACAATTTGACTTGTTTTCTTTTATTATTTTAATCTTCCTAAATTTTTCTCTCATACTCTCTCGATCCGTTTGCACAAGAGCAACCAATTGCTACCCCATGACCATCCCTCGCCACCCATCACCACCCCTACCAAGACCCAATCACCTCCAACATGGACAACTCTTTTCTTTCTCTTGAATTTTGAAGTTACCCATGACCACCACTACAATGAACACCATCACCATTAACCATCACTACTATTTTCTCTTTCCCCACACTCCCCATCATCACCATAATCACCTGTGTCACAGGTGTGATCACTGTTCTCTAGGTGCACAAAAGAGTAGGGTGACTCCTCACGTTTCATGTTTTTCTAAATTTCATGTAATGCGTGCCAAAATGAGATTACTATGAATTAAGTTCAACAACAAAAACTAAGAGGCATGCCAATTTGCACCAAACAACATTTTCTACTGTTTTATGTTTTTGACTGGGACAAAATAAAATTAATTCACTCACTTACCCCCTCTAGATTCTTTTTTTTTTTTAATAACATAAAGGATTTGGTGCAAGCGCAACTGTTTCTACATGTTAAGACTGAAAACATTGCACATTGTGGTGGGTGGTTGTTGCCATTGGCAACAAGTTCATTATCATCACATAAACCAGTTATGATAGCTTTCATTGTTCTATTTTTGTCACTTGAGTGATGGCCAATGGTATAGATGTAATAGATTTTTGAACAACATGAGAAAGAATCGAAATGCAAAGGAAATGATAATTGATAGGTGTGGTACAAAAATCAAAGAAAGGGATCCATTATAAATGACTCTTGGTGGAGTCGGGTTGTGAGCGCGTGTGTGTGTATGAGAAAGAGAGAGAGAGTGTCATGGTGATCGACAATGGTAAAAAAATCGGTACTTTGGCTGACCGTGTACAGAGTTGGAGGAAGAGGTTCACGGTGGCTTAGAGAGAGTGTGTGTGTGTGTGTGTTAAACCCATGTGCTTGTGAAGTGAATTTTAAATGGCCCCAAAAAAAATTCATCAATTGTCCCCTCCTATNAAAACTCAAGGAATCCTAATGGAGGTTGCCCAAAAAACAATTTGACTTGTTTTCTTTTGTTATTTTAATCTTCCTAAATTTTTCTCTCATACTCTCTCGATCCGTTTGCTCAAGAGCAACCAATTGCTACCCCATGACCATCANCCAAATTCACACAACTAGAACATGAAAGACAAAAAATGAGACTGAATGCATATTTTGGGGACTGGTAGTGTAGAAGAAATTATGTCATCATCCATTTTGTTAAGAAAAATTTCTATAATTGGTGATAAATCCACCAATACCTCAAGAAGTCAATATTCAAAGATAATGCCACACTCCGCCTCTCTTCTAAGATAGGTTGTCCTTAATTAGACAAGCCCAAGTTGGGACCTAATCACAACTCAACAGGACCTCAAATCCTTTGAATTGGCATTGGTAGACAAATTTCATTTGTTGCTCAAGCAAAATTGATACAGTTTGATTCCTCAACTTTATTAGTAGTAACTCTAGAGTCCACTTCTTCCCCATACTACAAGTGAAGGGAAAAATGTAAAGACTACCATTAAAGCAAGACTTACTATATCCATGTGAATTATGTCCCATATCTCTATGACAAAATTGTTCCATTATTGCTCGTTAATAATAGTGGAATCAATGAACTTTTTCAAATAAAAATATCTTCATTTCCAGATTCCATTGGATTTTAGTAGAGTAATGTATGATATGACTAATACTCTTTCAATCAAAGTTAAACATTCAACAAACTTATCAGCATGGTTGTCAAAACGCGTATTGGAAGCCGTAGCGTTTTTAAAAAATAGTGTATCATGTGTCGTAACGTATCGCGTATCGTAAAGCATTTTGCAATTTTAAAAAATTTGTTGATAAATATGTATCCCTTTGGAAAAAGTCAAAATAATATTTTAATTAATATTCCACCAGCTCCTGAAGTTTCCACAATATTTCATTAATATCAAAATTAAATATGCATGTAGTTCTAACTTCCAACCAAGGATCAAAATATCATTTCGGTGTATTATTTCGGTCACCTAGGAAATGGAAACATTTCGACCCGTTTCAAAAATATAATGAAAAAAATAAAAAATTTAAGAATTATTTTTCTAAAACATTGATGAAAATATATCAAAATATATTGAAATACCTTGAAACATTCTAAAACAATTGTACAATTGCATTAAAATATTATAATACATTTGAAAACATTATGAAATACCTCGAAATATCAGAATTTCGATTCCATCATTGTTTCGTTTCGCTCTCCATGGAAACAGAAACGTTTCAGACGTTTTGATAGTTTCGAAACGATATTTTGATCCTCGCTTCCAACATCTAACATCCAAAATAATTCATTCTTATGAATTCGATTGAACCGGAACATTCTTATAAATCTATGAATTCGTTCACAGAACCAGAGGAAGCTGAAATTCGCAGAACAAGAGGACATTGCAAGTAAGGGCCGAGGGTTTCTGTTGCAGAACCAAAATCCTTTGCAGAACCAGAATCCTTCGCAGAACCAGTCGATGAAGAAGATCGAAGCTTAGAACAATTGCAGAAGATTGCAGAAGGAGATCGAAGCTGGAGATATTTCGATGAAGGGAGTAGACCAGGAGGAAGGGTCAGTGCTATGGGTCGGTGCTATAGGTCTGTGCAATGGAGGGGTTCTTTGATTTGGAATCTTCATTTCAACCAGAAGAGAAGGAAGTCTTTATTTTGTTTAAGCTCTAGACAGGGCAACGACGTCAGTTTTATAGATGAAAACCCAAAAAAATAAAATAAATAAAAGGCAGCTGAGTATATTGTTTGTCTCATGCGATACAAAACATATCGACCGTATCGTCTCTTGTATCGTGTGATACAGTGCAAAAGCAATACACTTTTACAATCCGTATTGTTTTCTTCTATACTGTAACGTATCTTACAATACATATAACAATGCTAATGGCCATGCTTATCAGGTGTAATCACAGGTTTTCTGTTCATCATCAACCCAAACTCAATCAAATTCAATAATACTATTCAAATAGAGCTTTAGGTAAAATACTCAGGATGAATCACTCTCATGCAGCGATGGGCCAAAGGTTCTAGTTGTTGACTGATTTCCTTGAGCTTAGCCAGACCCTAAGGGCATCATTAGATCATGATTCACCACAATAAATTTAGAGCTATACATATAAAAGATACAAATAAAGAGTGATGCACATGGACATCCATTGCGGCAGTTGTATTATTTGAAGAGGGAAAAAATCTGAAATTTCAAAATGAGTTAGTTTACCTCCTCCATCTCAGGTTCATAACAGTACTCCATAACTTTCTTCTTAATAACTGGTTTCTTCCCCCTGATAGAACCAGAAGACTCACTTTCCTCACCCTGTGGAATAAAAACAGTATTTAATTCAGCTATCAGTGCTTCTTAAAAAATCATTAGATTAGGAGTCATGGAGACTGCGAATGATTACGACATCTTCTATGTTACAAATCATCCAGAAGGAATCTACAAACCAACCTTTTCAACTTCAGTCATGAAGTAATCATCCATAGAGTGAATCCGTGGGGCTTCACCACCATTTTCAACCTCAAGGTCCCGCAACATCTTCGCCAAGTAGCTCTTTCCACTACCTAAAATCATACAAAACACTGTCAAAAATTATTCATTACTCAGGAAAGTAGTAGAAGAATTGCTCATTTCAGAATTATATTTCTAGCGTTATTTCTCTAGGCTGTAACTCTCTCTCTACAGCAAACAGATTTACACGTTGAAATGCTTTACATGAAGGAATCTTCATATCTGCAACATCCATACTATTAATAATGGGAGAGAATGAGTTTGGTGTCCTCTCACTTTATTAGTAGTTGATTAGTAGTCTCTTTCTATTAGCAGTCAACTTAAAATTAACTTCCACTGTAAAATTCCCCACTCTGCCATGACTCTGTCCCTCACATGTTTCTCTTCCCTAACCAGCTCTCTCTCACACATATTAACTACCCACCCGCCATATCCCTTATGATTGATCTAAAACAGTTTTCTGTCTCCCTTTTTTCAAACTCTCATACTCTTGGGCTCTCAAGAGCTCCATTCCTCATTCTCCCTGATTCTATTTCCTGTTTATTTTTGTTCATCCCACACAATACAGTAACACAAGCATTAATTTGTGGACACATCGCATATTCCATGACTGCTAGTAAGAGGAAATNAAAATAATTCATTCTTATGAATTCGATTGAACCGGAACATTCTTATAAATCTATGAATTCGTTCACAGAACCAGAGGAAGCTGAAATTCGCAGAACAAGAGGACATTGCAAGTAAGGGCCGAGGGTTTCTGTTGCAGAACCAAAATCCTTTGCAGAACCAGAATCCTTCGCAGAACCAGTCGATGAAGAAGATCGAAGCTTAGAACAATTGCAGAAGATTGCAGAAGGAGATCGAAGCTGGAGATATTTCGATGAAGGGAGTAGACCAGGAGGAAGGGTCAGTGCTATGGGTCGGTGCTATAGGTCTGTGCAATGGAGGGGTTCTTTGATTTGGAATCTTCATTTCAACCAGAAGAGAAGGAAGTCTTTATTTTGTTTAAGCTCTAGACAGGGCAACGACGTCAGTTTTATAGATGAAAACCCAAAAAAATAAAATAAATAAAAGGCAGCTGAGTATATTGTTTGTCTCATGCGATACAAAACATATCGACCGTATCGTCTCTTGTATCGTGTGATACAGTGCAAAAGCAATACACTTTTACAATCCGTATTGTTTTCTTCTATACTGTAACGTATCTTACAATACATATAACAATGCTAATGGCCATGCTTATCAGGTGTAATCACAGGTTTTCTGTTCATCATCAACCCAAACTCAATCAAATTCAATAATACTATTCAAATAGAGCTTTAGGTAAAATACTCAGGATGAATCACTCTCATGCAGCGATGGGCCAAAGGTTCTAGTTGTTGACTGATTTCCTTGAGCTTAGCCAGACCCTAAGGGCATCATTAGATCATGATTCACCACAATAAATTTAGAGCTATACATATAAAAGATACAAATAAAGAGTGATGCACATGGACATCCATTGCGGCAGTTGTATTATTTGAAGAGGGAAAAAATCTGAAATTTCAAAATGAGTTAGTTTACCTCCTCCATCTCAGGTTCATAACAGTACTCCATAACTTTCTTCTTAATAACTGGTTTCTTCCCCCTGATAGAACCAGAAGACTCACTTTCCTCACCCTGTGGAATAAAAACAGTATTTAATTCAGCTATCAGTGCTTCTTAAAAAATCATTAGATTAGGAGTCATGGAGACTGCGAATGATTACGACATCTTCTATGTTACAAATCATCCAGAAGGAATCTACAAACCCACCTTTTCAACTTCAGTCATGAAGTAATCATCCATAGAGTGAATCCGTGGGGCTTCACCACCATTTTCAACCTCAAGGTCCCGCAACATCTTCGCCAAGTAGCTCTTTCCACTACCTAAAATCATACAAAACACTGTCAAAAATTATTCATTACTCAGGAAAGTAGTAGAAGAATTGCTCATTTCAGAATTATATTTCTAGCGTTATTTCTCTAGGCTGTAACTCTCTCTCTACAGCAAACAGATTTACACGTTGAAATGCTTTACATGAAGGAATCTTCATATCTGCAACATCCATACTATTAATAATGGGAGAGAATGAGTTTGGTGTCCTCTCACTTTATTAGTAGTTGATTAGTAGTCTCTTTCTATTAGCAGTCAACTTAAAATTAACTTCCACTGTAAAATTCCCCACTCTGCCATGACTCTGTCCCTCACATGTTTCTCTTCCCTAACCAGCTCTCTCTCACACATATTAACTACCCACCCGCCATATCCCTTATGATTGATCTAAAACAGTTTTCTGTCTCCCTTTTTTCAAACTCTCATACTCTTGGGCTCTCAAGAGCTCCATTCCTCATTCTCCCTGATTCTATTTCCTGTTTATTTTTGTTCATCCCACACAATACAGTAACACAAGCATTAATTTGTGGACACATCGCATATTCCATGACTGCTAGTAAGAGGAAATGGAGAGAGGGCACCGATCGCAAAAATACATTTCAACAGTCATTTAAGGCTCATGATATTTTACAAGAAGTTCTCTAAATCACAATTCTTCCATATGGTTGTAACTAAATGCCTAGTGCCACAAATCACACAAGTAATCCTAGAATTAGTGCCACAAATCACACAAGTAATCCTAGAATTTCACACACGCACCAGCTACTCTCCTAAAAAATAAATGCAAAAATTAGTTGTGCATGGGAAAAAGCTTGACATGTTGTTGTAATTATTTCAGGACAAATCTATGAACTCTGGATAATGGTGCAGATTTCTTGATTTGCCTTCACAGATAAAAATGGTCACGAATCCCAGCCAATAACCATATTGCAATACAACGGTCACCTACTTACTTGTCAATAGAATAAGGAAAAGTAAATGTTAGCTTATCCGTTAAGGAAAGACAAACATTTTAGAACAAAGCTAGGCATGCATCTCATCTCTTGAACACTTAATTAATGTCTTCTAAATTCGTACGTCCTTAATGGTTACCAAATGGGGGAGAAAATGTAATATCTTAAGGTAAAAAGACATACATCTCATCTAGTGGACTATTTTTTCTAATATGTTCAAAATTTAGTCATCATGCTTCAAATTTTCCGCTCACACAAAGTTTGGGTCAAAGATCTGATGACTCGTAAACCTCACCTTTCACTTCATATCTACACTATCATGCCATGTGGCTGTCTACACTCTACATTGACATCCAGTTCACTTATTCAACAGTTTCTTCTGCTTCTCCTTCTCCTTCCTCTCTTTTTGCTTTTTCTTTAATTATCTTTTTGATTCGATAATGAATATAATTTAGAATCTTTTTGCAAAGATTAATCCAACTTTGGTGTCATGAAGGACCGAGAGACACCTTTCTTTACTCCACATACTCTGCCGTCTTTGTAGAGTAAATCGTCTAGTCGGCAGTAGCCATCTGCCATCTTCAGTCCGGTCATCTTCTACCAGACACCTGTCGTCATTAGTATGATTCTTTATAGGAACTACCTATAATAACGAATTGTAAAATGGATTTGTTTATCATAAAGAGATTTGTCATTCTAGACTCCGCTTCACCTTAATAGTTATTTGAATACCAATTCACTTGGTCATCATTTTCACAGGTCAAAAGCTTTCCAACATTTGTTATTCTCCAATTCCTTCCAAAGCTATGACATTGCTTTTGTGCTTCCCAACAATTTTTTATTCAAAACCATCCAACTTGAACTCCAACATGATTTCACACCGTGTACAAATAAGAACTCTGCTGACCTAATACCAAAGAATGGAATAAAAACAAAGTAAAAATGATTTAAAAGCTGACACATTATAACTTTTACATGCATCTTGTATGTAACATGTGTGACACTTCAAAAATCTCAAAATTCAGTTCATAAAATCAGAAGTTTAGTCAAACTAAGTTCAGCATCAGCCCATCAGATTCTAGCAACAAGAAATGATGAACAGAGATGCATTAAGTAAAACAAGATACCTGGAAGTCCTCGAAGGATTATCACAATATGATCAGGACGGTTTGCTCGATGAGGGTGCTTAAATATGTGAGAAGCATCAACAAATTTTGGCTTATGAACAGGTAGATGCCTCGCTGGAAAAGGTTGCCTTTCGCCTGAATATCTATTGTTGGATGCTTGATGGATGGCTTGAAATTCCTAAAAAGGACAATTGTACTTTTTTCAGAAAATACATAATGCTTTGAGTACTGAAATCAGTAATTAAAAGGATATCAACCTCAAAAGGCCCAAGAGAAAAAAATATAATTCTGACCAGGAGGAACGTTACTATAAAACCTACACAACTAAAAGCTCCAATCAACTTTTTTATTTTATTTTCTGATATGTAAAGTTCCACTCAACAATAATTTTTAACTTGGGTGATTCCCAGTTTCCACAGATATCAGTTCAAGGCAAATATTTCATATCCAGTAGAATCCGATCTAACTACTACTAGAGTAAAAATTTCATCCAGAGTCCATTACATGGTGCTAATGTGCCATATTCACCAGTTTTACAAAATGATGAGCCAAGGAATTGTTATTCAGCACAAACGCTAACCTTTACAGTACTCTTAAGAAAAATTAAAGTCATCAGATCAAGCATTGATGAATTTTGCTAAAAAATTGAGATAGCATCGATAAAATTGCAGGTAGCTACCGAGCATGTGTGAGTAACATTCAAAATCAGTGACTAAACAAGTGAGAGTAGCCAGGAACTAGTTAAGTTATTTATGGTATTTATCATATATCTTCTGTTGAGTTTGTTTAAATATATGAACTATTATTATCAATTCCTTTAAGATTATCAAAAACTAAAAGATGCCCCGTGCACGAGTCTCTTGCCATTAGCAATCATTGCCTCGTGCAACAGCTAACATGCCTGGGCCAACAGTTATTAGGTTGTAGGTTCAAATTTGCGGAAGTCACTTTATAAAAAAATCTAAAAAGTTATAACCTTTTTAATGTCGACTGATTAACATAAAATTTTGTTCTATGTTGTCCTTTTCAGATCTTTTTGGTAAAATCATGGATTCTCCCATTTGATGATAGGGCATTCTAGAAGGTCCCATCTAGAATCTCAATTTTGACACCCCTTCCACTCAGCTGAGTCTAAAATGACTATCTGGCTAAGCCAGTTAGGCTTTCCATTTTTCATGAAACCCAAAAATCAAGGAACAAAAAGCCGTATCTTTTCCTCAGACATGCAAACAAATAGAAAGTTTCAAAATACAGATTGATTAAGTTCAATTTTCAGTTACTTACACGTGAATGGCACAGTTAAACACAAGTACCGAAGAATAAATATTTCTTACTCAAAATATAATATCATTTGGATAGAGAAGAACACAAAGACCCCATGAATTTTTGTTAAGCCATATCTTGACTTAATTGTTTCGGTTATTTGTTATCCTTTCATGGGGTGGATTCCTTGTACACTACCATGAACTATACATATATAATGAAACTTAAGTGTAAAATGCAAGAACGATGCCAAAGAGAATGAAAACAAGCTTTACACTTGGAAGCATACCTCAGAAGCAACGCCGGTGGAAGCATTCAGATGCTGTTTACTAGGATAGTGAGTCTGTGATGACAATTGGGCCTCTGGAACAGAAGGATATGATGATGGTATAGTGGCTGAAGAAAGACCGGGGATAGGAAATAATGAAGAGGGTGTTTTCGATGGTGAAGTTGACGCAAGTGGCTGGGACAATGTGTGAATTGGGGGTTCCACGGGAAGCGGAGGTGGTGGAGAAGCAGGAAGAGGAGGCTGTACATCATATAAACTTGTGCTACGAAGGTTGGGCAAATGACCACCTTGATTGTTTGGATTCAGCGGACCATATTGGGACACTACCGGAAAATTTTGATATCCAACTGGGCGTTCAATACCATCCAGCGATGGAACCTTGACTCCGACTGACTGCCTCATATTACTGAGCTGGTCCGGAGGTTGGAAATCATGTCTTGGCTCCATAGGATGTTGAATTTTAGATGGCTGTGGCAACTGATTATCAAGATTGTAGTTCATTTTATAGTGTGGAGAACTCGACCCCAACGTCCCTTGCCTCTCTGTTGGATAAGGATATTGGGGCTCCCTTAGAGACATATGTGATGCCTGAATCATGTCAGCCTTCTGTGCAACAGACAAATAATCATCTCCTGGATTCAAATCGTACCGAATCCCTTCATGGTAACTTTGCCGAGCCAGCTCAACGTTTGTGAAATGTCCAATAGGGTGATCACCATGTCCATTGCAGTGCAACAATTGATGCACATGTTTTTCCACTTGACTATACCGTGATCCCGCAAAATCTTCATTCCTATTACTCTTCAAAAATGGTTGATCAAAGGCTAACCCTTCTTCCTCTTTATCATAGTGTGGATTGGAACCAGGCCCTGGTAGGAAAGACGATCGGTTTCTGTCAAAAGTACCCAACCCTCGATCTCGAAAGTAGTTCACCTCATAATCATTCGACCGCTTAAAGGCCAATCCCTCAAATTGTCCCAATTCCCCACCACCAATGGTACCAAAACCATAAATTTCACTGCTTGGCGGTGCTATGCCACCGTGATCACGAATTAACTTCAATCTACGCTCATCATCAGCCAGAACTCTCAAAGGATTCACATTACTTTCATCAATCCTCATCCTCTTAGATCCAACACTACCACCATAATCATAACCAGGAGAATTCGTACGCCCATATGGGTCTCTATCGAAACTAGGGTCACTATGCCACGGCCGCGGTGGCGGTGGTAATGGCGGATCGCCGAACCCATAAACAGGCGGACGGTGGATGTTATTCGGAGGGGGTGTCCGTCCACGGTGGTCTAGCATCGGATCATAAGGTGGTGGGCTCGGGAAAAAGTGATCTGTGTGTGATTGGAACCTAGGGTTTTGAGTAAATGGTGATATGGGTAGTGGAGGGCAAAAGGGGAAGTGAGATTTAAAGCAGCTGGGGCAGATATTACCTTGAATTGTAGATCGAGAACGCCATGAATTATCCATCCTGAAGCCCTAGATCAATGGAGAGCGATTGAACTGAGCAGGTTTGAGAGGTTGAAATTAGGGCTTTGATGAGTTATTAGGGATTGTTTGAAAAAGAAGAGAAGGGTTGAGAATTAAAAGTCTCCTGGAGTAGCAGTTTGTCTTTTAATCATCCGGATCGCCTATATTTACCGTATAACATACAAATCTTTCAAAATTTGTATACAGATCTGCCATCGATGTCTATTACTATATTTATTAATGAATTATATTTAAATTTCTTAAAATTTAAGTTTAAAATATTATATTTTAACTCCCTTACTAATTAAAAAATTAATAAAATTTATTAAACGATTAAATTATCTCAATTAAAGATAGAGAATATTGTGTCTATTATGCAGTTTGGCCACGTGTTTAGTTTTTTAATTTAATTCAATAGATAATATAATTATATAAAAATGAGTGTTGAATTGAATTTTTTTGATATATTTATACTAATTATTATTTTTTTCTTAAAAAAATTGAGATTTTGTTTGGGTTATAAGTCAATGGATGATATAATGGAACATGCAAATGTACTTATTATTCTTATTTTCACATGTTTGTATTTGACGATAGAAAAATTGATCCAAGGTCAAAAGTTCATTTAATCAAAAATGCCTTAAGTATGTCACTCATAACTTTTAAACGCAATTTATACATTTAAGTTACTAATTTAGGCATCGAAGAGTCGATCCTTGGAACTCCCCTTTGATCTCTAACTTTTTTTTTAAGATCGAAGTCCAACAAACTGATATGGAAGTCATTCAAATTTCGGCATCAACAACACTAATTATGATTTTTTTTTAAAAAAAATAGATTTTTATTTTTGATTATGATAGTACCACAAAATATCTAAGGATGAACTCGGTTCCCCGGTTCATCCAAATCGGGAGCTCAGTTCATCAACATCACATGTTGACCTCAACCTCAGACTTTAACTCCCTGTATCCATACCTCGCAGAAGTTTGTTCAAAGGACAGCTCGATTTCACCAAGTCCCCCATCTTTTTAGCATCAATCCCAACTGGTGTAAGTCTCATAACGTAATAAGGGGGAACAGTTACACCTAAAGGGCAAGGATCTCGCCCAAAATCAAGCAAACCCTAGGAACATCTATAAATAAGAGCCAAAACCCTTAAAAAATGATATAGCCATTGTAGCCTAGAAAAATACCCTCTATAAAACCTCACGCAATTGATTAATATATTCAAGAGCAAGAGACTCCCTTGAAAGTGGATTAGCCGAACTCCCGAACTGGTTAACCACTATAAGCACTCTGTGTAACCTCCCTCCCAAGTATTCAGAAAATCCTATCCCCAAGAGCCTTGAACCAAAATCTCACCATTCGGTGCACTTTAAATCCATAACATTGTTCAATTGTGTTAAGAACATCATCAATTGGCGCTATCTATGGGAACAACTATTTCCCAATAAAAAATATACTGATCTCCTTTTATAATTGATGGTTTTTACATGCAACATGAGCAAAGAGCAAACGAATCTTTTTCAATTACCAAACCAACAAGAAGCGTCCACTAGGAGGCAACAAGAAAATCCCCATGATTCTTTGTCTTCGCGTGAAATCGATCTTCCCATAGTGAATCCTACACCCAACAATGAATTGGAGGCCCTTTGCTTAGCCAATCAATGCATCCTCCAACAAAATGAGGGGTTGTTGAATATCCTTCAATGTCCACAAAGGGCTCAGCCAGCCCAAGACAATCCCACTCTAAGGGCTCAACCAACCCAAGATAATCCCCCTCAGAGGGAGCAGCAGCACAACAACCACCTGAGGGACATCACTAAGGGAGATAAGCACAGCCAAACTGTGGGCAATACCCATCGCCGAATTCGTAGGAATGAGGACGAGGAGGAAGTACAAAGTCAAAATAGGGAAGCTCGTAATAATGAATTTCCTCTGTTTCAACAAGAAAGGAAAGAACAATATTAGGAGCAACGCTTCAAAGACATTCAATAGGAGCTCAGCCATATGAAGGAGGCCGTTAAAAGCAAAACACCAGTGACCATGGAAATCTTGGTTCAACAGACTGAGTCCTCATTCATCGCACAAGTGTTACACTTTCCATTTCCCCAAAAATTTAGAATGCCTTTGGAGCAAGAATTTGACCTAATAAACTTCCTCAGGTGGAATACAGATGTCTTCACCTGGTCCCACAAAGACTTGGAGGGCATCGACCCCAAAGTAGCCACCCACTGACTCAACGTTGATCCCAGGTACAAACCCTTTTGCTAGAAGCTGAGGAATATAAGTACTCAAAGAGGCCAAGCCACGGAAAAGGAAGTGGTAAAATTACTGGAAAATGGGTCAGTACGGGAGGTAGGCTACCCAAACTTGCTATCGAATGTAGAGATGGTTACTAAGGCCAACGGGAAGTGGCACTTCTACGTGAACTTCACAGAGTTCCATAAAGCTTGTCCCAAAAACAACTATCCTCTCTCACGTATCGATCTCCTTATTGATGCCACTGCGAGACATGAGCTCCTGAGTTTTCTAGATGCGTATTTCAGGTACAACTAAATTAGCATGTTCCCTCCAGATCAATAGAAAACCTCCTTCATCACCCCCGAAGGCCACCTATTACTATAGGGTGATGCCCTTTGGACTCAAAAACACCAGAGCCACATATTAGTACCTCGTGAATAAAATGTTTGAGGTTTCAGATCGGGAAGACCATGAAAGCCTATGTAGGCGATATGTTGGTGAAGAGTGTGGTTGCAGAAGATTATGTGACACACCTCCAGGAGACCTTTGATGTAATGAAAGCCTACAGGATGAAGCTGAATCCTAAAAAAGTGTGCCTTTGGCATTAGTTCAAGAAAATTCATAGGTTTCATAATAAAAAAATGGGCATTGAATCCAACCCAGACAAGATTAGAGTTATCTTGGAGATGAAGTCCCAAACCTCTATGAAGGAAGTCTAGTGCCTTAACGGGAGGATAGCAGCTCTCAACAAGTTTGTCTCAAAGTCAACAGACAAGTGCCTACCTTTCCTTAAAATCCTCCACAAATCTTTTCAGTGGGGACCAGATGCAGAGGAGGCCTTTCAGAGGCTAAAGGCCTACCTCGTTACACCCCCTTGTTCTCCCATGCTATGCCAGGAGAGACCTTATACCTCTACCTCTCCTCCTTGTCCTTTGTTACGAGCTCATTCCTTGTTATGGAGGATGGAGGCATCCAAAAACCTGTGTACTATGTAAGCAGGGTGTACCGAGGGGTGGAGATAAGATACTCAAAGGTAGAAAAGTTGGCCCTTGCACTTGTCACCACTGTCAGGCTTCTGCACCACTACTTTTAGGGTCATACCGTTGTGGTTGTTACATATCAACCACTCAAGAGAATTTTGGGAAAGCTTGACGTATCCAGCTGACTACTCAAGTGGGCTGTCGAGTTAAGTGAGTTAGATGTATAGTACCAGCCGAGGGGCGGCCATAAAAGTGCAATCAGTTGTGAACTTCATGGCCGAGTCTACACCTCCACAGGAAAACCAAGAAGGAGTACCACACGCCCCTGTGCTCACCTGTTCAGTACATAGCGCCTCCAACAACTATGAGGCAAACGCAGACACTATCCCCAAAAAACCTGACATTTTAGAGACAACTACTCAAGCCCTTGGAGACCACATTCTGAGGCTAGAGGTGCCTGATTCCCTTGTACCTGCTCCACCAAGTCCCTCAGTGCATCCGTCACCCATACCCCAACATGTTCTACTCCCATCTGAGTGCCCTCCTGCACCTAAGTAGGCATCACCTACTAACACCATGCAATGCTAGAAACAGTATGTTGATGCGTCCTCCACTAGCGAAGGTGGCGCATGCGGGACTGGTACTGATCAGTCCCCATGACACTCCACATAAGTACGCTATCTCCCTCCACTTCGCAGCATCAAACAACTAAGAAGAGTATAAGGCCCTCATATCGGGCTTGAAGCTTGCGATCGATATAAAAGCCCTCTGCCTAACCGTCTATAGTGATTTGCAATTAATAGTCAATCAGGTGAGAGGAGATTTTGAAGCGAAGGAGGAAAGAATGCAAGAGTACCTATTAGTGGACCAGACTTTGTTAAAAAGGTTTACCTACTTTCAAATTCACTATGTGCCCAGAAAGGAGAACGATATGGCAGATGCCCTCGCCAAGTTTGCATTTGCCAACATACTCATAGGCCCAACACTGACAGGCCACTATTTTGAGCCAAACAGGCTCAAGGCAGAGGAGGGCGACATTAACTGTACTTCCATCGAAGACAATTGGATGACACCCATCTGAGCCTACCTAGAGGAAGACGCTCTCCCAGATAACCCAATGGAAGCCAAGAAGATAAGAATGAGATCGTCTAGGTATGTCATCTTATGCAGCACACTCTACAAAAAAGAGTTATTTACTACCACTTCTCTGCTGTCTTACCCTCGAGAAAATCGATTATGCCATGAGGGATATCCACGAAGGGATATGTGAAAATCACTCATGAGGGCTTGTATTGGACCACAAAGCATTAAGGCAAGACTATTACTAGCCCAACATGATCAGAGACGCCTGAGAGTTTGTTAGAAAGTGTGACAAGTGTCGTGCTTTGCAACAATCCCTTGATAGCCACCAGAAAATCTCATCACCATTTAGAGCCCATAGCCTTTCTCCATGTGGGGGATCAACATCCTAGTTGTCCTACCCATGAGTCGGGATTAGTGCAAGTTTATGGTGGTAGTCATCGATTACTTCACTAAATGGGCAGAAGTCGAAGCCTTAGCCAGAATAATGGACCAGAAGATGAAAGATTTCATTTGGAGGAGTATAGTCTGCCGCTCCGAAATACCTCATACAATTGTGAGTGATAACGTTAAACAGTTTGACAATAAACTCCTTACACAGCTTCTGCGCTGACCTACAGATCAAGCGGCCCCATTCCAGTCCAGTCCAGGCCATCCATAGGTGAACGGACAGACAGAGGTCGCAGTCAGGACCATCCTCCGTAACCTAAAAACCAGATTAGAGAGTGCGAAGGGGCGATGGTGGACGAACCCCCAAGAGTACTGTGGGCTTACCAGACGACACCAAGAAGTCTCACGGGTGAGACCCCTTTTTCCCTAGCTTATGGTACAAAGGCGGTCATACTAGTTGAGTTTGGGGTACACTTTCTTAGGGTCCAACACCAAGACCCTACCACTAATGAAAAAGGCTTCCACATCAATCTCGACTTGGTAGAGGAGGAGAGAGAGATAAACATGCTCAAGAATGCAGAGTACAAGCGTCACATGACCAAGTACTATAACTCGAGGGTGAAGCCTCGCTACTTCTTGCCCAGGGACCCAGTCTTAAAAAAGATCATCCTATCTACCAAGGACTCTTAGGAAGGGAAGCTAGGACTTAACTGGGAAGGACTTTACACGGTCACAGATGTTGTAAAACCGGGCACCTATAGAATTCAGAACTATAAAGGAAAAGTTTTTGGGCCATCCATGAAACGCATAGCACCTAAAGAAATATTACCAGTAGGTGGGGGCAAGATAGTGGGTGTACAAGTCCGTAGTCACTATTTAAATTATTCCTTGTTGTTTTGGTCAATTTTCATTATTATTTACTTCAGATTATGAAATAAAATTTCACAAGACTTTGCCTTTTTCAAAAGTTGTATCTCATTTCATAGAAGTTTATAAACTATTTACAAAAGATAGAACATGCCTAGCAACAAAAATACGTAGATAGAAATACCATACTCCTGACATCATTCGCTGCTCACCGATCCACTCCCATCAAAGCTCTCTTCCTCATCGTTGGTCCTTAGAGCCTCATAGGGGACGAATCCAGAAAAGTAATAGGCAAAAAAAGCTGTTGAGACCTTCCCCTTAAGCTTCTCATAGCTATCGATAAAGGCATCTAACACAGCCCTATCAGCAACATTTCTCTTCTTCTCCATCTCAACAGGGTAAGCCTCTGCCCTGGTAGCTCTCTCAAGAGTTACTCGAAGGTCAACCTCTACCACGATAGCCCTCTCCCAAGTTATCCGTAGCTCAACCTCTGCTCCAACGGCCCTCTCACGAGACACTCGCAGCTCTGTCTCTACTCTCGCACAGACATCCTCTCTGTCAGCCTCCAGTTGGGCGACCTCTTACGGGACGCTAGAAGGTCGATCTCTAATAGGGTAGCCCTCTCGCGTGCTAGCCTCAATTGCTCCTCGACAGCCTCTCGCACCTACCTCTCGAGTCCCAATTGCTCCTTAGGAGCCCTTTGTGTCTACCTCTCCGCCACCTAATCACTGAGTGCCTTCATAAGCTTCATCGTACTTGAAAACAAGTAGGGAAAAGTAGTAGCCACCTACATGTATTTGAAAGGTAGAACATGAAAGAAAAAAGTCAGGTACAAGATCAAAGATGAGTAAAATAAATATCATAGCAAAGCCCTTCATTGCAGTGTTAATGATCCCTTACGGATCTCGGTGGTCACAAACCCCAAAAGTTGCTCCTTGGCCAGATTCACGTCTTGCAGCACAGATACTGAACCACTGCTAGAAGTAGGACAGTTAGACAGAGCCTCAGTCCTTGAAAAAGACCTCGCTGGGGCCTCAATCCCCACAATCATATTGGGACTAGCTCTAGGGGTAAAGGAATAACAATCGGGGAAGAACTGAGAGCATCACCGAGTCCTGCCTCTCGGGGACTAACTTGGCCGGTAGTCCTCGGTTGAGAAACACTAGGAGTATCAGACTTCGCCTTCTTAAAAGAAAGAGGGGAAGACGTCATCCTAGAAGCGTAAAGAGCCTCCACTATTACTCTATCAATAGAGGTACCTGCGGACTTGGTGTGAGACAAAAGGCCTACAACGACGTAACCACGAAAAGCCTATTAGGGAGAATTAGATACCNTGTGAGACAAAAGGCCTACAACGACGTAACCACGAAAAGCCTATTGGGGAGAATTAGATACATTTCCTCTTCGGTCTATGGGAGACCTTGGGACGACCTGATGCAGACATAATCTTTGAAAATTCTTGGAAAGGATGGTCACACACTACCTGGAGTCTACTCTCTTGCTCCGTAGATAATGTGGGTGAAGCTAAAAAGGAACCAATCACACAATAAGAACAAATATATGATGATTAGACGTAAAAGTAAAAGAGGAACTCTTACCTAGCTTGGTCCTCGAAACGGTGTCCCACCTCGAAGGCACTATATCACGTCTCCCTCAGTGGCCCACTCACCTCCAACAAAGAAGAACTAAGACTTCCAACTATAACAATTCGAAGGAAGTCCTGTGATGAATTTGTCAGACCTCGAGGCAAAACGACACCGTCCTTGATGTGGAGAGGGGGTATCTAGAAGCACGAACGTGGCCAAGAACTCCTTGAAAGGAAAAGGAACATCAACACTGTGAACTAGCTGTCGTAATGAGGAAATTGCTAGGATCACTCTCCACCCGTTGGGAGCCAACCTCCTAGGAGCCATCGACAAATGTCCCAAAATTTGATAGATGGACCCAGGTATTGGGAATCTCAAACCCATCTCTAAGGCACCCTTATAAAGAACAATCTCACCCAAAGAGTCATAACATGTTAGTTCTTCCTCCTCTGCCCAACAACACATGACAGTAGGAGGGATACGGTATGAAGACACAATGCGGGTGACGTCATCATCGCAGTCAATTGAGCTAAAGATAGAGGTTACCTTTGAACTGTCTCCCTCAACGACTCCCCTATCTGGTCGGGAATCCCATAGAACATCTCTCACCACGCCCTTGTCAGAGATGATGCCTGTCAGGAACTAGAGCCGAGGTCAGAAACAGGATCAAATGGGTAAAAATGTCAAGTCAGTCCCATAACTACTAATGAGCTAAAGAACAAGAGTTTGTCTCACCTAAAGAAGAGGTGTCATGTTATTTCCTTTTGATAGAGTTTCGAGTGTCACCATTGCCACCAGGTTTCTTGCCTTCACTGCAAGGACGTGATCTACCATCTTCTAGTGACCTAGGAGAACACCTAACACCGCTTGGTCGAGTACTGTCTAGATTGTTGCAAAAAGAGGAACCGCTTGGAGGCTCACAATGAATGACATCAATGCCTATTGGGGCCCCTGCAAACCCACGATGCTTGGGGTAAGCCAAGTCAGTGCCTAGACATAGCCTGGCGTCGCCTAGGCCAAGACCGACTCCCATAAGGCTTGTTTCGGTGTCGCCTTTCATGCCGAGGAGGTCATTGGCGCCGCCTAGTGCATCCTGGGCTTCACATTCTCTCTTTTCTGCACTGGTGCCGGTCAGGGACCGCCTAGCGTGCCTATGCTACTACCTGCTGCATAGGCGCCCTTTCCTTGAATCGATCCCAAGAACTTTGCAACTTGAATGATGTCGCCCAACTCAACTAGAATGGGGTCACCCACAAGATTGGAAACCGAATCAACGTCGTCTGGACCCTTGGAGGCCAGATGGGCGCCGCCCAATGGCTGGTCTCTATCTCCATTGGTGTTGTCCAATGCCTCTCTACCTCCACTAGCGTCGCCCTAGTCCCCATGCTTGCTGGTGTCACCCATTACCTCACCCATAGCATCACCTACCATAATCTGTTTGGAGAATGGGGCTTCACTTGATTTTGCAAATGGGAATCTTCTCCGTGGAACTGCCTATGGAATCTCTTCTCGATGTTCTCCTGTCAGCCTCCATGATTTTTCTNATTTTGCAAATGGGACTCTTCTCCGTGGAACTGCCTATGGAATCTCTTCTCGATGTTCTCCTGTCAACCTCCATGATTTTTCCCTTACAGTTCTTAGTTACTTGGGAGTTGGAAGATCTCAGGCTCACAAATCAAAAGAAAACTTTGAGTAATTGGAAAAGGAAGAGACTAATGGTTTATGTATACAAGCCTTTAAAACCCTAGAAATGGTGCTCTAAATGGAAAATAGGGCTTTTCTAATGAAAAGGTAAAATATATTTAGACTTGATGAAAAACCCAGCAAATGGGACTGGAAGCTAGAACAATGGTCATCCAACCCTTGTGTTACCAAGTGAGGGAAGGAATTTTGAAAAAGCATGGAGATAAGGAACTTAGTGGATTACTATGGGAAACAAGTAACCTTTTGCATATTCAGAGCTTCATTCATGCCCTCAACCCTCTTTTCTCACTAGCAATCGGGGCCTAGGCCATGAGGAGCAAATGATGGACCCAAATTCAACTAGGTCAGATCCAATGAATCAAGTAAGTCCAAAATAGCTAAAAAGCGGGTCAAGGCCAGTTCGTGAGTTCGACCTAGTCAAAAATCTGAGGAATTCAAGAAGATTAGAGCACATGGGGAACAATCATCATGATATCCACTTTCGGAGATCAAGACAATCTTTAATTGTACTTAACTTTTATAACTATCCTCCCCGAGAAACTAGTGCATTTACCCTCACGTAACCTCCTCACCTAAGAGCTTCATGCCTGTAAATTGTAAACTCTCTCTACATGAGAGGACAGCTCTCTACACACCCCTCACATAGATTTTTCTCTCTCCTAGCTACCATACCTCTTCCGGAGCTAACCTGTGCTCTCTCTCTCTCACATTACTTTATTAATAAAGGTTCTTCGGCCGCTGTTGCTGTTCCCAAAGTAGGTCTCCTTGACCGAACCACTATATATCTACGTGTTGACCTAATATTTACCTTTTTGCCTTTGATTGCTTTATTAATTGTCCTATTACTTACCCTAAATCACATACTTGACTGTTGATTGTGCGTAAGTCCGTTTTGTGCATTATCAATAGTGATTACAAATTATTATCTTAACTATTAGTGTCATATGATACTTTTCAACAAATTAATTGTGCGTACATGTATTGTTTATTAGGCGTGTCAAACGTGTCGGGNACCCTAAATCACATACTTGACTGTTGATTGTGCGTAAGTCCGTTTTGTGCATCATCAATAGTGATTACAAATTATTATCTTAACTATTAGTGTCATATGATACTTTTAATTTCGAGTTCGTGTCAAAAATCTCTAAACACGAACCTAACCTATTTAATAATCAGGTCGACCTATGTAAACACTAATATAACCTGACCATTAAACAGGTTACCCGAACCCAACCTGCTTGACACATGTAATAAATAGGTCATTTTTGGGTTTACACATAATATGACATGTTTAACCAGTTTAACACACATAACGCGACCTGTTTAACGTACATAACTTGTTTTCACACTCGTTTATTATCATTAAATACACAATTCAATCATTTATTTAAAATTTCAAATATATTTTTCACAAATAATATATTACATTTCATCAATAAAATTAACTAAAATGCATTCNGTTTACACATAATATGACATGTTTAACCAGTTTAACACACATAACGCGACCTGTTTACGTACATAACTTGTTTTCACACTCGTTTATTATCATTAAATACACAATTCAATCATTTATTTAAAATTTCAAATATTTTTTTCACAAATAATATATTACATTTCATCAATAAAATTAACTAAAATGCATTCAAGTTTCATCCCAAAAATTAAAGCAATAACTGTACTACTATACTACCATAATAATGTTAAGAACTATACTGCCAATTTCTATAGTAAAAACAAGAATTAATAAGTAATAATGTTAAGACCACATCAATTATACATAATAGCAAACTCTACTGCCATAAATGGGTTAAACTAGTCTAAATAGAGTAGGTCGGGTTCATGTCAAGCCGTTTAAAATATGAGTTAATTAGATCAAAATCGAATTGACCTAATTTTAACATAANCTGCCAATTTCTATAGTAAAAACAAGAATTAATAAGTAATAATGTTAAGACCACATCAATTATACATAATAGCAAACTCTACTGCCATAAATGGGTTAAACAAGTCTAAATAGAGTAGGTCGGGTTCATGCCAAGCCGTTTAAAATATGAGTTAATTAGATCAAAATCAAATTGACCTAATTTTAACATATATTTGACTCGATTTTTTTCGTGTTTAAGCGTGTTGACCAGTTTTTACCCATTGATCTATTTAATTTTTGTCCAATCCATTTATTTCGTCTTCAGTTTGTATCGTGTCAAAAATTGACAACCATGTTGTTTTTCTTTTTTTCCCTCATCACAGTGATTCTAACAAAGCCTTTGTCCTTAAAAGGAAAAAATGGGCACACATCCATGTAACAAAAGCCTTTATTCTTCTTCTNGTTGACCAGTTTTTACCCATTGATCTATTTAATTTTTGTCCAATCCATTTATTTCGTGTTCAGTTTGTATCGTGTCAAAAATTGACAACCATGTTGTTTTTCTTTTTTTTCCCTCATCACAGTGATTCTAACAAAGCCTTTGTCCTTAAAAGGAAAAAATGGGCACTCATCCATGTAACAAAAGCCTTTATTCTTCTTCCTTTTTTTTAAAATAAATATATAGAAATTTGAAAACCTAAGAGAAGGCTTAAAGTTTTTTGGACCCTAAAGGGGTATTAAATACTTTCAAAATTTTGAGGGGGCCACATTTGGTTCCATCCTCGCTTATGTTCAAGAATTTCTATTAATGTGTGTTTGGTAGCATCAGTGAAAAAATAAGAATAGTGAAAAGTAGGATCAATATATTTTTTCTCCTTCAAGAAAAGCAATCATCATTCCTTTATGTTTTATAGGGGATGAAAAATATGAGTAATTAAATTTGTTACCTTGGGTATGGATTAAAAAAGTGGAAGAAAAAAAAATACACATGCATATTTTACTATTATATTCACTTAGAGGGATGCTAAGGTAAAAACTCAATATTTCAACGCACACAATTAAACTTTTTCTCCACTTTTTTTGCTCAATTTTAAATGGAGATATAGAGATTTTGTTGCCTTGCAAGAAAATGACCAACTTCTATGCTCTTCTTTCCTTCCACTTTTCCCCAAATGTGGCCTTTTTAGACCAAGAAAAGCAAAGAATAATCTCTCTCCCCCCTTCCCCCCCACCCACCCCACCTCTTCTTTTGAGGCCATATGAACTTCTGATTAAGGCCGACTCCATTATATATTTTTTCTATTTTTTTTGGCAAATCACGTAACATAAATTCAAGTAAGATTCATTATATATAAACGGGTTGCTCAATAATACATGCTTATATGATTTGCCTTGAAGAAAAATAGGGCGTATTAGAGGGAACTTCCCTCACAAAGAACAACACACTCCAAGAGGAGAAGTTTGGAATAATAATGCATCACTTGCAAGTAAAGCTATGTGAATTTGAACATATTAAGATTGCATAACCCCCCGGGGAGGGGGGGGTTCAATTCATATTAACAGCAAAGTATATAAATTGCACACATTATCACATTACTTCATTACAATTCAATACCCAACTTCCATTAACATTTCACATCAATGGCAAACACTATGGCAACAAAAGGGGTTGCTGATGGAAAAAACACTCAGAATTCAATATTTGAAGAGCTTGACCCTTCCTCTAGTTGGACAGAGGACTCAACTTTTCATTATCTACTGATTGATCTTCCAGGTACTGAAAAATTCTTCTCATCATTCTATTTGATTGTAATTTGCATTTTTTTTCAACAACAAATCTTGTGGTTGTATATATGACTGATTGTATGAAGCCTTATTTGATGGAGAAGTAGATCTATTAATGGATTGGATTTTGATCGGTCAGATATGAATAGTTTATTATTTGAAAGAGTATTTCAATCCGTGTTATGAACCCATGGATAGAACTTGTCCTTGAGAACTGGCTTGTAAGGGAAGAGCATTCGAGAGTTCATATACACACATCTAATCTTATTTTTAACCAATGTGGGATAGTAACATTCCACCATGCTTCCGTAGCTAATGTTCACAGCGGCTCACTTTATGGGCACTGACCCAACGGTAACCTTTTCCTTTTGGCAGCTGCACTCACCTATCAGTATTCAATGAGATAACACTATGTCCATACATAATACCAAATCATTTTAGTCCAGTTTATAAGTCGCCCTTTCCGTGACTCGATCACAGCTGCAACTCACACTTAGCCAGATCTCGTACTCAACGTGGTGGTTAGCTCTAATATCAATTGTTATGAATCCATAGATAAAACTTGTCCCCAGAAACCTGCTTGTAACGGAAGAATGCCCAAGAGTATATATACACACATCTAATCTTATTTTTAACCAATGTGGGATAGTAACATTCCACCACGCTTCCGTAGCTAATGTTCACAGCGGCTCACTTTATGGGCACTGACCCAACGGTAACCTTTTCCTTTTGGCAGCTGCACTCACCTATCAGTATTCAATGAGATAACACTATGTCCATACATAATACCAAATCATTTTAGTCCAGTTTATAAGTCGCCCTTTCCGTGACTCGATCACAGCTGCAACTCACACTTAGCCAGATCTCGTACCCAACGTGGTGATTAGCTCTAATACCAATTGTTATGAATCCATAGATAAAACTTGTCCCCAGAAACCGGCTTGTAACAGAAGAATGCCCAAGAGTATATATACACACATCTAATCTTATTTTTAACTGATATGAAATCATAACAATCCGGATCTACAATCAAATCTATTATATAATATTTCATGAATTATCGTTTGGGTATGCAAATATTCAATTCAATTGTAATTTAATTAGAATAATATATTCATAAAGATACATAACAAAATTGAGTGACTATTTGATAAAATTGAATTGAAATTCAATTATAATTTGTTAAAATTTAATTGTAATTGAGTTCTTTAGGTAGGATATCAAGTTATGCTCTCTAACATATTCGAATATAGTTATTAAAATGAAATTCATTATATACTCGAATCGGATTGAAATTGGGGCTTTTAAATCACACTCAATTCAGTTAAAATTAGATCTAAATCCGATCTATTCACAACCCTATCGAGAGGTCTGGTCTACAACAATTACATATGCATTTTAAAAAGTGATAACGGTCAGTTCAATATCGATTTTGTTTCCAGTATCACTAGTGTTATTGTAAACTTGGATAGTGGCATTAAAAACAATGAGCTTTCTATTATGAACGTAAACAAGAAACTAAGACTAAAGTATTTCTCATTTACATGTTTAAGGGTTCAAGATGGAGGAGGTGACGCTTGAAGTAGATAAGTATGGCCACATTTTGGTCCATGGAGAAAGGCCAGTCAGTGAAAACAAATTCATCCGCTTCAAGCAAACCTTCAATGTCCCGGAAAATTCGAATATTGAAGATATCGCTGGAAAGTTTGAAGATGGACTTCTCTATGTAGCAATCCCAAAATATGAGACAAAAGACATGGGAGAGGAAGAGAACGAACACGAAAAACGCGAGCACGATGAAAATTTTCGAGAAGGAAATGTCAAGCAAGGTGATGGTAATGGGTACGATCATGAGGAGGAAAGGGTAGATGAGAAAGAAGAATTTCATGAAGCCCACACAGAGAACCAGTGGGGTGAGGCTGGTCTGTTTGAAACAGTGAAAGAGAAGTTGAAGAAGAATAAAGGGATTGTTATAACAGCTATCTTGGCATTTTCAGTAGGAGTGCTAATGGCACAAAAGTTTCAGTCAAATGAAGATTGAAAGGGCTTTTCAACCAGCATTACTTTGAAAGTTGTGAAGTGAATGTACTAGAACTATGTGAGAATACAAATAATGAGAAGACCTTAGTGATTCTCTTGTAAGTTTTTTTTGTTTTGTTTTTTGGGAATCATTGCAGCCACTCGTCATGGCTACAAATAAACATTGGATGCAAGCAATAACCCATTAACCAAATGAATCAGTTAAACCCGATGTGGGCTCAAACCTAGGACATGCCGGCTCATGTCTCGCTCCTTGTTCAACACCTAATTCAACCCCATGTGGGCTCATGTCTTGCTCCTTATTTTGGCCAAGAATGCAAAAATAAGGAATACAATTCGAAATATGGATATGGTTGATAAGGACTTCTAACAAGACAACATAAAAACTCAACTTAACTCAACACAACCTTTTCTTAATATTTTTCGCCTCGGCTATATGAAAATTGAAGTTAAGAAGTCTTAAATAGTTCCAATACAGAATTCCGTATAGCAAGCTGAGACTCGAGGGTTTGGTTAAGGTTTGGTCCTTCTTAATCGAGGGGTTTTCCAAGTATAAATTGGTTACCATCAAATTTAAACTCAAAACCTCATGTTTGTCACGCTTACTCTTCTATCACCCCGTCATAAATGTAATTTACAGTCCGTGAACTAAATCAAATATACAAGGATTTTACCAGCTTGACAGATAATATAGGAAAAACCCGCAAACCTTCGCATAATCTGAAAATTTTGATAAATTGGCAAAGTTTAGGTGGGGCTTGGATTGAAAGCAGCCAGACTTTGTGGCTTGGAGTGAAAATAGCAGTTGCTGCTTTAATTTAAGGTCCAGAGGACATGTCCTGACTCTAAGCATACATGAAAGTGTGGACATTCACATTTCTCTCCAAAACAAACCTGTCCTGACCAGTGGTTTGTTTGTGAGCATTCATTACAATGCAAAATTAAAGCTGAATAGTATAAATTTAAAAGCTGGATCCAATATCTGCACTGAACATATTTGACATTAGAGGACAGCATACCTGTCAGAAGCCCAAAATATAAAAATTCCAGGTCTGATTCCATTTCTTTACATTCTTTTATTGTTTCTAGCTTCAATAGATTTTTTTTTTTGATTCAAAGGTCAGAGGTGTCCAGACCAACTTACGTGCACCTCGATAAATCCCCTCTCCGGTCCTATCAAAAGCAAACCAAGATTCAAACTCAGACGTCTGAGTTTCTAGCTTTAGGATTGGTTTTACTTGTTCAATTCTTATATACACTGTTTATGGAAAAATACAAATTTTTTTTTTTTTTCAGTTTTTGTTTTTCATTTCTTATCATATTGCTCTGTTGTTCCCTAAACAATATTTTCCCTTCTAATTTTGATAGATTCCTCATCCCCCTGTTTCTGAAGGATAGTTAAGGGGCCTGAAGGGCTTTGTATTAAGTTCAGGAATGGGAGAGACAGGAGATTCAGATATAAAAGAAGCTAGGCAAGTCGAAAAGAAAGAAAAGCACGAAAAGAAAGAGAAACACGTGGACGAGGACGTGGAAGGAGGAAAAAGTGAAGAAAAGACGAAGGAGAAGAAGAAGAAGAAAGACAAGGATGTTAAAGAGGAGAAGAAAAAGAAGAATCCTGAAGATAACAATGATCCAGCAAAATTGAAACTTAAGCTGGAAAAGATTGACGTCAAGATACAAGCTTTGGTAACAAAGAGGGAAGACATTTTGAAACAGATCAATGAAGCTGAAAAATCCACCGCCAACCCGAGTGGAGACGCCTGCCCACCTGCCTCTGCTTAAGACTGCTTACAAGGGCATAGTACACAAGTTGAGGGGCTAAGCATGCAGAAAGAGGGAGTGATTTATAGGATCATTATCTCTTTAGCAGTGCTAGAATCAAACCTTTTCTGTATATATATAAACTAAGAGTAAATAATAATCAGCTAGTTAATTGTTAGATTTCTAATAAATGAACAAGGAACAGAGTATCTTGTTTCTGTAATGAGATGCAAATGAGTAATGCAAAAGAAAAATAAGAGGCTCCATCCAGTTCCTGTTCTTTTGATTGAAGCCTGTGGTCCAAATCAGATTTTCTACATAATTGAAAGGATGAAATTCGGCTATGACACAAAGAACAATTCAGAAACATAAACTGTTTTGCTGAGCCAGCAAGGCTTCCTTTTAAGGGCATAAACATCTGAACATGATGCGCCATCGGCATCTGGCAACAAATAGTCCAGATTAAAGGAATTTGGTTCTGTCGACGTGAACCAGTACTAGACATTGACACATTTCTCACAAGCAAAATCCCATTTCCAGAAAAATTAGAACATGAAAGTTTTTTTATTTTTACAGATATAAATGAAACATTATCCACTTACAAGCATTCCTCAACAATGAAACAGAATCATCTCATAGTTCAATACTAAATGTCCTTGCGGACAAGTTGTTTAGCTTCTATATACCATACTATTGGCAGGATGACAATCACTGTGAAATCAAAATCAAACAAACCAACATCTTGAAATTTGTTTCAAACCAAACTTACAAGTATAAAACATGTTTCAAACCAAACTTATATAAAAGCAAGTACGAAAATCACCGGCTAGTTGAAGCCTGAAGAAGCCCATCACGGATCTGGGTAGCCACATCACGAACGGCACCAGGACCATGGGGAATGAACACAGCAGAAGATTTACTGGCAGCGCCAATTTCCTTCATGGTGTCGAAGTACTGGGTGACCAGGACCATGTCCATAACATCTTTTGCAGTAGTTCCTGGAACATTAACTGAGAACCCTAGCACACTATCTCTCAAACCATCCACGATTGCTTGACGCTGGCGAGCAATACCCAATCCTGAAAGGTACTTAGACTCGGCCTCACCTTCAGCTCGTTTTATTTGTAGAATTTTTTCAGCCTCTGCCTTGTCATTGGCTGCCAACCTCAGCCTTGCAGCTGGAGAAATATTACTTGTCAACAATTGATAAAAAGAAAAATCAAATGCAGCTGATCAAGGAGTAGCAAACTATCCTGGACTCATAGGTGGCAAGACTTAAATAGGATATTTTTACTCCATTAGCGTGAATAGTCATTGATAAGTATTTCGTGACCACAATTTGTCCCATTCAGAGCTGATTACTAGATAAATTTCTTGACAGGATAATAAACTTGCTCCCCATGAAAAAGTAAATCTCATTGCCTCAGAATTTAATGCAGTGGTAGAAGTGTTGAGATAAAAATCTTAAGTTATGAGTACACATATGTGTAGCCACACAAAGGGTAGGTTAGTACCCAATCCCTCCCTCCCAACACCCTTGCATAATGGGGACTAAATTGATAATGACCTCCATAACCCTTTTTAATAGCTTGGTACAAATGAATGTGCTGCAACATACAGAGATGACCATTGATGGGGTTTTCAGCCTGGATATTTTTTAAGGCAATCCCTCTATGTAATCTGCCCAACCTTAGTAGTGGGATAAATTAGAAAGGTTGAATACTTAACCTCATCAAAGAAGAGATCGTGTATGCTTACCAGCATTGATTTCATTCATTGCTCTCTTAACATGCTCATCTGGTTCTATATCAACAATCAGCGTCTGAACAATCTCGTATCCATAGGCAGACATGGCCTGTAAGCAGTAATGAAACCAACAAGATTACAGCCAAGAATAAGGCTCACAATATCAAATTACAACCTGTCTATCCAAATAACTTACCTTTTCAAGTTCGTCTTCAACAGCCTTGGCAATTTCATTTTTCTGCTCAAAAACATCATCCAAATTGAGCTTTGGAACACTGGCTCTTATCACTAAATCCAATGGAAAGTCCAACCCAGTTCAGGTTATTATATTTACAAAAAACTAATATAGATACCAAGATGGAGTGATATACTAAACAATTCCAATATTATATTTGAACACCAATATGCAAATATCTGTAATTCAACTATAATTTTAAGTTTGTACCATCAAAAACATAGGCCTGGATTTGGGTCCTTGTGTTGCTGAGTTTGTAGAAAGCATCACTTGCCTTATCTGCCAGGGCACGGTACTGAATTGATGCCACAACATTGACAAACACATTGTCCTGAAAAACAACAATCATTTCAATTCAATTCAGGAAGACCAATCATTTCAATTCATCACATTCATAAGCCCTGTCATATCTTAACCCACGTTTACAAAGATTAGAAATCTGACTTGCCAATTTATCCTCTATTTCTAGACCCATCATCCACTAAAAAGTATTATTTGATCGCAAGGTGTTCACTTACTGCTAGGCAAGAAATACAAGAAAAGATGCAACCAATCTGTGCTAGGTAAACTTAATTTGTTGGTTGGCATGGCAAAACCCAAGCTTGTGAAGGATGTTATAGACCAACTTCATATTAGAAACAAAATTTACAGTTCAAAGATGCAAAATAATATAATGAATCCATAACATTAGAATCAGAAAACAAAAAGGGAAGACAACATTAACAGATGGAGAAAAAGGTATACCTTTGTCTTGGTCTCGCAGCGCACATCCAACTGCTGTAGCCTAAGCGAGAGATGGCCAGCCAGCTGACTTCCAAATATCCAAGGGAGACAATGGCATCCTGGCTCAAGTACTTCCTCAAACTTCCCAAACCTCTCTTTAATAGCAACCTTAGATTGGTCGACTTGCACACAACAAAATAGATTACCCATGTTCTGAAGAGAAAATATTAGAACAATATAAGGTTAAGACTTAAGAGGTTCTGCTTTACAGGGGATTCCACAACTTAGCTACAAAAAACTCATGACACTGACAAAGTATTTTCTCACAGATTTTAAGACAAAGAATGACTTAATGTCACGTTGATTCTGCGCCCCTTTAATGGAGTTAAGAATGCTAGCCAAAACCATTAAAATATCAAAAAAAAAGAGAACCCCCCAAATTCAACAAAGGTCTGCAGTATTCCACTATATAAATCCCCTGTTCATTCAGCATATAGTGCAAAGAACAAAAGTTTATTCCCCTATGGCGTCTACACTGGACTGGGAGATTTGAATTGTAATTGGATCTTCAAAAGAAACACACTCAAAAGCAAAACCCCTTGATTTAGTCCCTAACCATCAAACCATCCCTTCATAATAACAACATATAATCAACAAACTCAATATGTAAAAAAGAATACACAGCAACAAATTCACAACCTCTGCCCTAATACCCACATTAATCAGCAGCATATAAACTTTCAAAATTTGAAATTTTAACAATTCATTATTACTTGCTACCTTACTCACAAAATTTTACACATAAAAAAAAACAGCAGAAACAGAATCAAAAAAGAAAAAAGAAAAAAATATAAATTATAGGAACCCGCTTATCCATAGAACTATACAAGTGGATATATTTCTCCTACAATAAATGAAGTGTTTCCCAATGCTACACGAGTTCTAGATCATAAATTGAATGAGAGAGAGAGAGAGAGAGACTCACAAATAAGTCCAGTCAATAGAGGAACGAAGTTGTAAGATGGGAATGACAAGGCAAGAGGGCAGAATTTATACATACATAGGACCCGAAAAGACTTCCTCAAATATCCTCAAATATATTCTTTATTATATATATGTACTTAATATTATTCTCATTGAGATAGAGTTTGTTTTCCATTCCACCAATTGAAAAGTCAACCAAACAAAATATATTTAGATTACTTGCTAAAATGGCTTGCTTTGATAGATATTTTTGAGCTGTCCCTGTATCGAATTTTGTTTCGAATACGATCTAAATTTTATATTTAATTATATCGATATTATTTATTGATAATTTAAATTCGTCTTTGAATCTATTACATTATGTTGGATAAATGTGTTTGAAAAATAAATTAAACAACATGGTGATGTGCGGATTAGATCGTTTACGCGTAACTCCTCTACGGATATGTTTACTTATCTCTTATATATATATATATATATATATTTTTTTTTTCTTCTTATAATACCTTAGTTTGAATGTATCGCATTATGTATCATTTGTTAACCCCAAAAATCCTTCATTTACCTTTTGGTTCAAATCTATATTTGTATAAATTTATAATTAAATTAAATAATTATTTGATAAAATTATATTAAAATTTAGGTATAATTTGCTAATTGGATCAAGTATCGATTCTTAAAGGATTCAAACAATAGACAATGAAATAAAATTTGCTGGATAATCAAGTCAAATTCGAATTAATTTTTTTTATTTGGGTTTGAATTGACTGAAATTCAATCCAAATCCGATTCACACAAGGCGTAATAGGTGTAGGCGAAAACTCTGAGAAGCTTGATAACAAAAGTATTGTTGTCCAACATAGTATTCTAATCTCAATATTATATACAAACAATTAGATAAATGACAATTGACCTGGTCATGATCGAGTTATGAAACAAGAACAAGGAACAAGCAACAAGAAACCATTACATGAAAATCCAAAGAAAACTTTATCAAGTGATGACGAAAGGGGAATTAGTGACCACCAATGAAGAGCTGGTATATTTATTCGACTTTGTTTAGGGTCTTCAATTTTCGACACGACAGAATAATTCGATACGAATCGAATACAAAATTAATAGGTTGGATACGAAATTAACGAATTAATAGGTTAAAACGGGTCAACACGATTAAATACGAAAACAAAATTATGTCAGGTTCATGTTTGATTAACCCGTATATTTTAAACGGGTTGACATGATTCAGACACGAACTCGACTCGACCCATTATAGACCTGTTTATGATAGTATAGTTTGCCTATTATATATGACTGATGTGATCTTAACATTATTATTTATTAATTCTTGTTTCTACTATAATAATTAACAATATATTTCATAACATTATTATGATAGTATAGTTGTATGGTTATGACTTTAATTTTTGGGTTGAAATTTGAATTCAGTTTAGTTAATTTCATTAATGAGATGTGATATGTTACTTGTAAAAAAATTATTTGAAATTTTTGATGAATGATTGAATGATGTATTTAATGACAATGAACAGTTATGAAAACAGGTTTTGTGAATTAAACAAGTCTGTGTTATGTGTGTTAAACAGGTCAAAATAACATGTGTGTTAACTCGAAAACGACCTAATTATTAAATGTGTCAAACAAGTCGGATTCGGGTAACCCGTTTAATAGCCAGGTCAAATTAGTGGTTACACATTTCGACACGATTATTAAAAATGTCAGATTTGATTTTTGGAATATTTGACACAAATTCAAAATTAACCCAATATAAAATGATCCAATCCGCATATTTGACACCCCTAACTTTGTTCATGCTCGTGTTCATTGGAAAATGGTATCGTGGGTTCATATAGAGACAATATAACCACCCAATAGTTTGAAGAATTGGTGGGTCGTATTCAAAACTGAAAAGGATATGTATGTGTATGATATATTTTTTGGTTAATAATATTTTTGGTCCATAAAATATATATATTTTTATTAATTTAGTCTCTAAAATATCGATTTTGTCTATAAAGTATTTAATTTGTGTTTAAATAATTTTTACACAGACGGATTCAATAAATTTTTTGATAGAAGTGACCGTGTGTCATTCTTTCAGACAGTATCGCATGACCAACACGTGATCATTCTGAAAAAAACTTAACGTATTGTCTAATTAGGGACTAAAATAACACGAATTAAAATTTTAAGGATAAAATTAACAAAATTAATATAATGAGAAAGAAACTGATAAAATGGATATGCTTTAAAGACCAAAAATAATTTCTAAAGAAAAAAGGTACCGTCATTCACTTTTTGGTATAATATCGGAAATTGAAGAAAAGCATAAAAAGTGATAAATAGTATGGTACTCAATTTCTATTTGAGTAATGTTATATAGACTTAAAAAATAAATTTAATAATTATAATTATTAAATTAATTAGTGAATTTCTATAAATACTGAGACCCACAATAAAATTAATATTTATAATTATTAAATATATTTTTTAAATTAGTATAACATTACTCTTTCTATTGTTGTATCGTAGTCAAACCCAAAATTCTCAGATAATTGTAAAGCTACCAGTGAAGAAGTTGCAGCGAAAGAGGAAAAGAAACTTACCAAAGAATTGAAGAAGGCTACTTTTCTGTTGTACGAACGTCATCTTTTGTTGGATAGAATGGACTATTTCAAGATGGGTTTTATCAAAGTGCCCAAAAAAAAAATTACGTATCTATACCCCACCTGTTTTTTTTTGGTAGAATTTATCGACTGGATATACCTTGCTCATAGAGCATCTCCGACCCTAATTCTAATTTAAACTTAAATTTAAATAGTCCAATTTTTTTTTTTTCAACTTTGAACTCAAAATTGTATCAAATGAAGAAAAAATTTATTTTGAACCCAAATTGAAGAAGACTCAAATTTTATACCAAATTTTCAACGATAACTTTTTATCTTATCCAAAATCAAAAGACTTTTTCCATGACCAGGGGAGGCTCAACAGTGTTATCAAAAAACTAGGGCTAAAATTAAAGAAGACCCTAAATTTTTAAATATCATAAATAGACCATGTAAAAAAACTAAATCTAAAAATATTTTAAGTCCTACAAAAAGGTCTTATAAAAATATAAGTTCAATCAAAAAATAATTCAAGACCTCACTTCAAGGAAAATTCATAATTTATAGATGTACAGTAATAGTCCAAATAACAAATTTAAATTCATGCCTAAATAAAATATTTTAACTTAAATAGATTAGACCTATTAATTCAGCCGTAAAATTAAAAGGTCCTAAAATTTATTTTTTTAAATAAAGAAAAAAAACTAAATGTAAAACTAAAGCTGCTAAAATTTTTTGTTTTAATCCTAAAAAAAGTTAGGTTTAAACTTACCATTTTTTTCAATCATTCTCTCTCTTTCTTACCATTAAGTTCAAATACGATAACAAAAATTTGACTATAAAAATTTAATTAATATTTTTGTATTTAAAAAATTATAAATTAAATTTATTATTAATATTAAAAATAAAAAAACCTCATTTATCGTTTTCGCTTTAGGCTCCAAAATGTCTCGGGCCACCCTCGTCCATGACTTGTTTTTTCTCTTCTTGTTGCATGTTTCCATCATCGACCACCAACGAAGGATTCACATATCTTTTAAAGACTTATATATAAACCTCTTCTTTTTCATTTACCATTTTCTTGACTTATTATATTTTTTCAAACCTTAATCTCACCCATCTTTTATACTATATAAATCCTAAACCTACCTATTAAATTTTTCTTTAATTTTTTTGAGTGAAACAATGTCGATAGTGCAATTTTAGGCTACTAATTCTTCGTGAAATTTCAAGTCTTCACTATCCACAAATTTAAGAAATTCGTTATTTTATTGTTTAAATATCCATTTTTGTTGACAACGATTCTTTTTTTTTTTCACACTTCGGTATTATCATTTGATTGAGCACCCACAGGTTTGACGTGTGACTGTGGGGTTGTCGTAAGTGGGGGTTGTTGTTGCTTTTTGGAGTTTATTATACGAGTTTGAGTAAATCATTGAAACTCATATTTAACTAATTTTAATTTAAATTTAAATCTGCATTCAAATTTAAATAAAATGTTGAAATTTTTTTAGACAGTTCAAATTGGGTTTAAGTTTATTTGGACTTTAATTGATGTGTAAATTTAAGACATGAACAATCACCTATAAATTATGCATATTAAATTAATTAAAACGCCTTTTTATAAAGTTTGAATTAAAAATATATTATAAAATTAGCCATTATAATCTTATAATCTGAGTTATCTCTGGTTAACATACACAACTATTTCATTCCAAATTAATGCTTATGCTAACACGGAGTTGGATAGTTGATAGTTGAAGAATAATTAAGGATTGGAAAAGAGTCGAATTCCCTTTACACTCCTTCATGTGTAACCCACCCTGGATACTTATAACAAAATACTTGAATAATATAGTAGTACTAGCTATTGCCCGTGTTTGAAAGTAAGGAGTAATAAAAAAAATTATCAATTATAAACATATTTGTATTCACACCCAAAATTAAATTATAAATATCGAGAATACAGAAATGAATTTAAACACCAATTAAAGTAGGGGGTGATCGATGGTAGTGATGGTTGTGAGAGATGATGGTTGTGGTAGGCGGTGACCACTGTGGTTGTAGTGACAGTCGTTGGTGGCAATGGTGATGGTGGTAGTAGATTTTGGATAACGATGGTAGTAGTGGTAATCATGAGTGATGGCGGTGGTGATGGACAATGACGATTATGGTGGGGTGTGAGTGGTAATGGGCGACAAAGGATGCTTATGGATGACAATGGTGGCGAATGACGGTGGTGGTGGTGGTAGGTGTGATGGGGGTGGGTGACAGTGGGTGGCGGCAATGGTGGGCGATGACAGATGGTTGGTGGTGGTATGTGTGATGGGGTGTGGGTGACAATGGGTAGTGGCAATGACAGGTGGTGGTAGGCAACGATGGTGGCGGTGGTGGTGGGTGACGGTGGTAGTAGGATGATGGTAGTAGTGGTAACAAATATAAGAATGTGATGATGATGATGGTGGTGGTGGTGGGCGACAGTGATAGCAATCGATGGTGGTGTTGGGTGGTGGCGATGATAGTTGTAGTGGTGCTTGTGACAGAGGTGATGGTAGGGTGGCGGTGATCATGGTAGTGGTGATGGTGCTGGGGCAAGGGGGTGGTGGTGGTAATGGGGCAATAGTGGTGTGGTAGGGGGGGTAGTGGTGGGGGTGGCGAGGGCGGTGATGGTGATGTAGTGTTTTTTAGAGAATTGATTTTAAAGAAGTAAAAGTTATTTTTTTTTACTTTTAATTACTTATTTAAATGGTAAAACTATTTTTGACTTATTTAGAAGTAATTAAAATAAGTTGTTTCAAACATTACATATATATTTTTTTTATAGTGTTTATGAGAAGTGGCAAATTCTAGAAGTATTTTTGAAAAATTAACCTAAACACACCTCTTAGGGGACCTATTTTTTCTATTAAATTTAGGGAAGTAATATTAGTCGTCAGATTAATTTTAAAATAAAATTTAAAAACGATTTCAACTGTGAAAAACAAAAATTATTTTTTATGTCTTCAATCTTTGTACTTTATNGTAAGGAGTAATAAAAAAAATTATCAATTATAAACATATTTGTATTCACACCCAAAATTAAATTATAAATATCGAGAATACAGAAATGAATTTAAACACCAATTAAAGTAGGGGGTGATCGATGGTAGTGATGGTTGTGAGAGATGATGGTTGTGGTAGGCGGTGACCACNATTAAATAGATTGAGTTTATTTCAAGCATTAGTATCGGTGATTCAAATTTCATCATCTCCTTTTTAAGTGACTTATAATGGAACAAGATGTCTTTCGTTACATTTTTTAGAATAATTTTTTCTTTAATATATTAATTAATCTATTGTATATTNATTAAATAGATTGAGTTTATTTCAAGCATTAGTATCGGTGATTCAAATTTCATCATCCTTTTTTTAAGTGACTTATAATGGAACAAGATGTCTTTCGTTACATTTTTTAGAATAATTTTCTCTTTAATATATTAATTAATCTATTGTATATTATTGGTTACTAACTAATACATAATGTGCGATCTAACAAGAAAGAAACTGAGGGACAAAAGTATTGGGCGAAATTTAAATTCATCATATAATTTAAAAAGTGAGATTACAATATTGAATGAGATATGGAACTTTAATTTATTTACGGTTATGTTATATATGGGAAAAGCGAGGAAAAAACTATAAAATAAAAAGTGAGGTTCAATATTTAATAATTTATTTGTTTTTTTAACATAAACGGATAATATATCATGATACAAGTGCAACAACGATCGTAGATTTTAGCTTCTTAGCTTTTGTACCTTTAGAATTGTCATTGTGTCTATATATTAAGTCACGTCGTCCCAAACTTCATTCTATTCATATTCAATTTATTTATAATTTTATACTCGAGTTTGTGTGACATTGACTTAGTGTTATAAGGGCCTCTGTCCTAGCTGACCAATGTGCTATGAACCCCTTACTGTATATGACTGTCCATATATAGATGGATGAAAATAGCAAAAGAGGGCATTCTTCAATGTCCAATGCGACCATGCATGGTTCTTGAATAGAAACCACACAGATGAACTATTACGTGAAACAAGTGGATGCCATCAAACAAAGTTAGAAGCCAACATAGAAGAAACTAGCTAATATATATACTAAAGTTCATATCTTCAAGTCCTAGAAATATAAATCCCTGTATCTAAATAAGTGGCTATATATAATCTACAGTATAGTATTGTCTCTTTGAATTAAGAGAGGGGTATCTCTGGAACCACTAATCCTTGAGTTCTTCCATGGGCATTGTTGTTAACAGATTTTGCATTATGTCCATGTGTCGTACGAAGGTATATGTTGTCTAGGGTTATGTCTGTACAAGGAGCCGCCTCACTGCAATCCAACATCACCGCTGTCTCTTTCTTTGACGTTCCCAGAAACTCTCGAAAAATAACATTGCTAACTTGTACTGCTGTATTCTGTAACAATTACACCAAGCCGCAAATGACGTTATAATCAGAATTTTATGAAATTCTTATTGTTGGAGTGAAACAACAAACAACGTGTGATAGGGAGTACTCACTTGGGTTTCACACTGTTCGTGATCACAATAGTTTTGATCGATGATGATAGGGTAGGTTACTTCTTGACACAATATACGTTCATAGACTATGTGTCTAGCATAACCGTGACCTCCCTGATAAATATACTGACAAGAAGTCAACGACTGTATATGTCATTGAAAAAGNTAGCATAACCGTGACCTCCCTGATAAATATACTGACAAGAAGTCAACGACTGTATATCTCATTGAGAAAATATTATAGAAATTTACATGGAAGATTACCTGCCATGTCTTTATCCTAGCACCATTTGTTGTTCCTGTAAATACAACATCGCTAACGTGGATGTCTTCAACTTTGTCTTCTGCTCCATGTTTGCCTAAACTTCCGACACTACATATAAAATGTGAACAAGACATTAGTAGAGTAATGGTGGTGATGGTCTGTCACATTTGATTTTGCTCCCCACATTTGTGCCGGGCCTGTTGGCCTGCTATTCACTTACACTAAGCAGAAAGAAAGGAAACTCCAACCTTATACCATGTCCAGGCCCACATGCGATGTTGCTGATTTGGATATTTGAAGACCCATCAACCATGGAGATGCAATCATCTCCTGCATTTCAAACACACATAAACAAGGTTACATGCATGACACATAAACAAATATTGAAACATTGTGAAAAGGGTCTACCAGTCTTGATGCTGCAATTTTTAATGAAAACATCGGTTGATCCTCCCATGTGAATACCATCGGTGTTCGGGCTATCTTCCGGTGCATCAATTGATAAATTAGAGATAAATACCGATTTTGAACTTTGTAAATCGACATGCACACGAGGGTTGTCCTTAAAGGTTAAGCTAGTCAAGTACACGTTGTTAGAGTTTGAAATCTTCAAAGCCTGCACTTAAAAGGAATGCTTTAGATGATGATAATTTCACTGTGTTTATGCTTATAATAAGATATGCATATGGAGTTGTTATCATAGACTCACAGTTGGCCCGTGGTGGTTCTGAAAACAAAAGAAGAAAAGAGAGTAATGTTAGTAACTCAAATGACTCATTGATAATCTGCAACATAAAAGATCAACTTTAAGTAACAATTATTAATGGTAAAAAAAGGAAGGAAAATAAAGAAAACGATATGATTCAAGAGTCAAGAAATCAATCTCTATCGCCTTAGTCCGCAGAGTGAAAATTGAGGTTATTTCATCTAAAGTGGTTCCATGTGCCAAAACATTTATAATTNCTTAACATCTCAGGGATCTTAATTGTACAGAAAATTGAGGTGGTTTTTCATCTAAAGTAGTTGCATATGCCAAAACAATTATATTAAGTGCATGACTTACATTCAAATCCCACCATTTCTGTCCCTGCCCATTGATTGTACCACTCCCATAAACCCTAAGCCCATCGACATGTTCAAAATGGATCCATTCACGACAACCATCATGGCATGTCCAATCTGAGGGATCTTTAGGTGCAATAATATTCCCATTTATCTGCAACATTAACGGCCAAAAGAACATTAATCAAAAAGAGATATTACAAAAGTGTAGGAGAGTTCAATCAGCCATGAACTAGAGAGTACCTCAACATCGATTTGTTTTGGATCACACTCTCCTCTAAAGTACAAGGGTTGAATCATGAACGTCATTTCCGAAGGGACATGCATGGTTGGCGAAGAAGAAGACGAAGAAGAGCATGCTGCTTCCCATGCTTTCATGAAAGCCTACGAAGAAGAAAGTAAAAATATATGAAGCTTTAGACCCATTATCTAAACTTAAATCTGTTATACTATACATTATAAATTTGAACTTAAGCCTAATCTTCGATCTAGTTATAATTCAAACACAACATGAATCACAAACTTATATCAAATTACTAATATTACAGTTTATATTTTAACCATACTTAAATTTTAATCACAATAAATATTTTAAATATTCACTTATATTTAAAAGTCACGACAATATGATTTAATCACTCATTTATAGTTTAACCACAATTTATATGTTCATCATTTGCTTACATTTCAACTATTAAAAAAAATTATATTAGGTACCATAGTAGATAAATAAAATATGGACATATTATAGGGTTTAGTAATTATTTGATAATATTGAGCTAGAATTTATATGTAATTGATGTCGATGGATATGTTATATTACTAGGGGAAAGAATTTTTCCTCTCCAATCTTTTAACAGTTAACACTATGGCACTGAATTTTTTTTTTTTTTGGTACAATTCTGAAAAATATTTTTGATTATAAATATTAGTTTGAGTTATTTATAAATATTAATTATTGAAATTAACAAAATAATAAAATAAAATAAAGTTTTTCACGTATCATTTCGTAAATGGTTAAAAACAATATATAGTACAAAAAAAAAAAGAAATGCCTATAAAATTATTGACAATTTACTCTCCAAAAAAAAGGTACTTAGGATCCAAAAAAACTACCTACATGGGAAACCATGTTGGGAAAAATGCTTCAATGAATTGAATGCTCGGGGATTTAATTAATTCTAAAATTCTCATAGAATATAGAGATTTACCTTAGTATCGTCGGTATGTCCATCTCCATGTGCACCATAATCCATGACATTGTATATCGGAGAATTCGATTCAGTTTTCACGAAGCAAGGCAGAATTAAAAGGAAGAAACATAGAACCCTAACTTCCATGTTTAATGTTGAAGTAAGAGCCAAAAAAAAAAATGGCTAAGAAAACTATGAAAACAAAGTAAAGAGTTAACCTACTTAAATAACTCATTCTGAATAAAAAGATCGACATAATAGGTTTTTTGAGTTCTAATATGATTCATATACCTATTTAGTAGTTTAAGTAGACATAATAGGTTTTTTAGTTCTAATATGATGCATATACCATATTGGTAGTTAAGGATTTGAATTTTGTAAGTTATAAAGCATAATAATGGTCGAGATTCATTCAAAAAATTGATCAAAAGGTTCAAAATAACTCCCAACAAAATATTTCCCGTGCATCCAAAGGTTCTCTTACTCTCTCATTTATCCCCTATTTGTCTCTCCTCGCTCTTACTGGCTATTGCTGGCAGGTTTATTCAAGATAATTTGAGATCTAAAACCTCTCATATTTCTCTCTCTCTCACCCACCCAATACCCTCTTCAAGCACATCTCTCTCTCTCTCCCCCCCCTTCTTCAGACATCACACACAACCACACAAATTCCCCCAAACCCATTAGCCAACACAGAACACACGCACCAAACCACCCACAAACACAACACACACACAGTCTGCACGCTTACACACACACACCGTGGGTCCATTAAATGTCCTGTGAATTTCGCGAGTGGGTCAATTTTGGGTGGTAAATTTGGTGAATTTTAACTGATTTTTTATTTTATTTTTTGCCAGTTATGCTTACTACTGTAAGCAGCTGACTAATTTGAACTGATCTAGAGCATATGTCCTAAAGGGACAAGACTAGCTATGAGGAGGAATTGAATTTGAGATTTCTAAGTCAGTAAAGGACAGATCCAACCACCAAACCATCTCTAAGAGTTAATTTTAATTGAAATTTGTGTTATTTATATGAAAATCAAAATTTGTGTTAATTATATGAAATTGATTTTCGAGATATTTGAAATTACGTGTTATATTACTAAATTTGAATTGAAATTTTGGATTGTGAACTTTATTGTGAATTAAAGAGTCAAACCGTATTGACACTCTATGAAACCAACTAGGAATGGATACTAAAAACAAAATACTTGAATAATATAGTAGTATGAACAACGACATTAAATCAATTGAAACGTCTCACATAAGATTCAAACTTAAAGTATTCTAACATTAACCATTATGATTCTATAATTTGAGTTCTTTTAGCTTAACATACACAACTATTACATTCTAATTAAGTTAATACCACATACTTGGATTGTTGAACAAGAATTAGGGATTGGTAAAGAGTCAAACCCTATTTACACTCCCTCATATGTAACCACCTAGGATACTTATAACAAAAATCCTTGAATTATATAGCAATACTAAATTTATTTCAATAATTAGCGGCGTTGATTCAAACCTGATCATCTCCTTTCTAAGTAATTTACAAGTTACAATGGAACAACATGGCTTCCGGTAATTTTTTTTTTTTTAGCATTTTCTCCGTAGTAGATTAATTGTCGTGAATTAAAACAAAATCCATTGTAGATTATTAATGGGTCACTAACTAATACATAATGTGTGATTTAACAAGAAAGAATCTGAGAGAAAGAAGGAACTAATTTAATTTATTTAGGGTTATGTTATATCAGGGAAAAGGAAGAAAAAAACTATAAAATAAAAAGTGAGGTTCAACATTCAATAATTTATTTGTTAAAACTTGTGAACCTGTCCGCAAAATGCTGTTAAATCACGGCAGAAGAGCCCGCCCGCACTTCACACAATCACTTGAAAAAAAGTTAACTATTGAAATTTTGAAAATTTGATAGCAAAATATTCCTAAAAAAAAAAAAATTAAATTCCTCCCCTATTCATAAATAAAATTGTTACGTACTTTTTTTGTTCATTTTGACTCTACTTTTAATTTAAAAAAATATTAAGTTAAAAACTTGTTAAATAAAATTATATATATATACACAAAAGCCCGCTAGCAGGCTCACACAGCGAGTGGCTAGTTAGGCTCTGGATAACCTACTCTTACCCAAAACTCAACCAAGCCCAATCAATAACTCGCCCAAGTAAGAATTTGGACCTATCTTATCCAAGCCTGGCCAAATTTTTTTTAACAAACCTAATCATGGACATCCATAGGCATCATAGAAGAAACTAGCTATTATATAACCAAAGCCTACTCCAAAATTCATATCTTCAAGTCCTAGAAATATAAATCCCTGTATCTAAACAAGTGGCTAATATATAATCTATACTGTTGTCTCTTTGAGTCAACTATCAAGAGAGGGGTATCACTGGAACCATTAATCCTTGAGTTCTTCCATGGGCATTGTTGTTAACAGATTTTGCATGATGTCCGTGTGTCGTACGAAGATATATGTTTTCTAGGATTATATCTTTACACGGAACTGCTTTACTGCAATCCAACATTATCGCCGTCTCTTTTCTTGACGTTCCCAGAAACTGTCGAAAAGTGACATTGCTAACTTGCACTGCTGCATTCTGTAACGATTGAACCAAGACGAAAATGGCCGTCATCATCAGAATTTGATGAAATTTATATTGCAGGAGAGAAATAACATTTGATAGAGAGTACTCACTTGGGTTTCACAATGTTCATGGTCACAATAGTTTTGATTGATAATGATAGGATAAGCTATTTCTTGACACAATACACGTTCATAGACTATGTCTCTAACATAACCGTTACCTCCCTGATAAATATATAGACAAGAAGTCAACGACTATATATGTGATTGTGAAAATATAATTAAAATTTACATGGAAGATTACCTGCCATGTCTTTATCCTAGCACCATTTGTTGTTCCTGTAAATACAACATCGCTAACATGGATATTTTCAACTTTGTCTTCTGCTCCATGTTTGCCTAAACTTCCTATACTACAGAGAAAATGTGAACAAGACATTAATAAAGTAATGGTGATGGTGGTTTGTAACATTTGATTTTGCACCCCACATTTGGGCCAGGCCTATTGGCCTGCTATTCACTTACACTAAGCAGAAAGAAAGGAAAATAAAGCACACACAAACCTTATACCATGTCCAGGCCCACAAGTGATGTTGCTGATTTGGATATTTGAAGACCCATCAACCATGGAGATGCAATCATCTCCTGCATTCCGAACACACACAAACACGGTTATGTGCATGACAGGCAAACAAATATTGAAACATTGTGAAAAGTATCGATCTACCAGTCTTGATGCTGCAATCATTAATGAAGACATCGGTGGATCCTCCGATGTGAATACCATCAGTGTTCGGGCTATTTCCCGGTGCATCGATTGATATACCAGAGATATACACCGATTTTGAGCCTTTGAATTCGACATGCACGCGAGGGTTGTCCTTAAAGCTTAGGCCAGTCAAGTAAACGTTGTTGGAGTTTGAAATCTTCAAAGCCTGCGCTTAAAAAGGAATGCTTCAGATGATGATAATTTCACTGCGGTTTATGTGTATAAGAAGATATGCATATGGAGTAATTATCATAGACTCACAGTTGGCTTGTTGTGGTTCTGAAAACAAAAGAAGAAAAGAGAGTAATGTTAGTAACTCGAATGACTCATTAGTAATCTGCAACGTAAAGTATTAACTTTCAAGTAACAATTATTAATGGTTAAAAAAGGAAGAAAAATAAAGAAAACTTCATATTATGATTCAGAATCTAAAAATCAATCTCCCTCTACACGAGTAAGATTACACATATTTGAACTTTCTTGACTTTGCGGAGTCAACAAGGACGGAGCAATGTTTTTGGTTAATGTATCAAAAGTTAGTAGGGGCAACGATCCCCCAACCATGTGTGTAACTCTACCCTCGAGTGTTGGGATAGTTATGCATGGTTACATATATATTATTTTCATTCGATTAGAAATAATTGCGGAGTAAACCAACTTAGAAGATTAGATCATATTGGATTTATCCATGTAAAGTAAATCACAAATATATACAATCACCCATTAAACACAAGTGTCGTTTTAACTTCGTAGAGTGATGTGAGTTTTATCGCTCTTCTTGATGATGTATAAAATAGTCTAGTGCAAGATCAACAACCGATTGTGTGATATAGTGTCATTAATGAGACAATTAATAAAAAAATTAATGACAAAAAAGTAATATCGGGTCAATATACAGATATATAATGGTTCAGTCCGGATGACCTATTCACTCTGAGAAATGACAACGATGGCGGGGGGCCTTTATTGATGAAGTAAGGTGAACGGGGGAGAGGGTGATGGTTAGTTTTGGGAGAGGGATAATAGTTTAGGAGAGAGAAAAGTTATGTGTGTGAAGAGAGATGTAGAGACAGAGTTCAATATGTCCTCTCATGTAGAGAGAACTTACAATTTATAGACACAGGGTCTTGGTTAATGTGGTGACTTGAGGGCAAAGGTACTAATTCTCCGGGTGTTTACAAAAGGTAATTGCCATAAAATGTTGTCTTGATCTTCGAAAAAAAAAATCTCGATAATTGCTCTCCATGTACTCTAAATCTTCATAAACTCTTTGAAACTTAAACTACCTCTTAATTGACTTAGACCTACTGAATTTATTGGACTTGACCCGATTAAATTTGTGCTCATCACTTACATCTACTTAACATCTCAGGGATCTTAATTGTACAGAAAATTGAGGTGGTTTTTCATCTAAAGTAGTTGCATATGCCAAAACAATTATATTAAGTGCATGACTTACATTCAAATCCCACCATTTCTGTCCCTGCCCATTGATTGTACCACTCCCATAAACCCTAAGCCCATCGACATGTTCAAAATGGATCCATTCACGACAACCGTCATAGCATGTCCAATCTGAGGGATCTTTAGGTCCAACAATATTCCCATTTATCTGCAGTATTAATGGCCAAAACAACACTGATCAAAAAGAGGTATTGCAAAAGTATATATAGGTGAGTTGGATCAACCATGAACTAAAAGAGTACCTCAACATTGATTTGTTTTGGATCACACTCTCCTCTAAAGTACAAGGGTTGAATCATGAACGTCATTTCCGAAGGGACATGCATGGTTGGCGAAGAAGAAGACGAAGAAGAGCATGCTGCTTCCCATGCTTTCGTGAAAGCCTATGGAGAAGAAAGTTACACTACGTCAAGCTTACAACTTGATGATAATAGAATGAAACTCCATAATGAAATTAATTACTAGTAGTCCCCTTGGTAATGTACAGAAAAAATTCAGTAATATATATATATATATATACTCATTATCTAAACTTAAATCTGTTATACTATACTTCATGAATTTGAACCTAAGATTAATTTTCAATCTAATTATAATTCAATATGAAATTTACATGAATACATCGAGTCACCAACACAACATAAAACACAAAAATAAGACACATCACTTATATCAAATGACTAATATTACTGGGGATTAAAATATCGTTTTGAAATAGTCAAAACATTTTTAAAGAAATCAAAATTCAGTGATGAAATCGAAATTCTAATAATTCGAGGTATTCTATAATGTTTTCTTATATTTTATTGTATTTGCACAATTATTTCAAAATATTTCAAGGTATTTGAATATATTTTGATATATTTCAACTAATATTTTAAAAAATAATTTTAAAANATGAAATCGAAATTCTAATAATTCGAGGTATTCTATAATGTTTTCTTATATTTTATTATATTTGCATAATTATTTCAAAATATTTCAAGGTATTTGAATATATTTTGATATATTTCAACTAATATTTTAAAAAATAATTTTAAATNTCTTGATCTTCGAAAAAAAAAATCTCGATAATTGCTCTCCATGTACTCTAAATCTTCTTAGACTCTTTGAAACTTAGACTGGGTCAGATTCATGAACTGAACTCAACCTACCTCTTAATTGACTTAGACCTACTGAATTTATTGGACTTGACCCGATTAAATTTGTGCTCATCACTTACATCTACTTAACATCTCAGGGATCTTAATTGTACAGAAAATTGAGGTGGTTTTTCATCTAAAGTAGTTGCATATGCCAAAACAATTATATTAAGTGCATGACTTACATTCAAATCCCACCATTTCTGTCCCTGCCCATTGATTGTACCACTCCCATAAACCCTAAGCCCATCGACATGTTCAAAATGGATCCATTCACGACAACCGTCATAGCATGTCCAATCTGAGGGATCTTTAGGTCCAACAATATTCCCATTTATCTGCAGTATTAATGGCCAAAACAACACTGATCAAAAAGAGGTATTGCAAAAGTATATATAGGTGAGTTGGATCAACCATGAACTAAAAGAGTACCTCAACATTGATTTGTTTTGGATCACACTCTCCTCTAAAGTACAAGGGTTGAATCATGAACGTCATTTCCGAAGGGACTTGCATGGTTGGCGAAGAAGAAGACGAAGAAGAGCATGCTGCTTCCCATGCTTTCGTGAAAGCCTATGGAGAAGAAAGTTACACTACGTCAAGCTTACAACTTGATGATAATAGAATGAAACTCCATAATGAAATTAATTACTAGTAGTCCCCTTGGTAATGTACAGAAAAAATTCAGTAATATATATATATATATATACTCATTATCTAAACTTAAATCTGTTATACTATACTTCATGAATTTGAACCTAAGATTAATTTTCAATCTAATTATAATTCAATATGAAATTTACATGAATACATCGAGTCACCAACACAACATAAAACACAAAAATAAGACACATCACTTATATCAAATGACTAATATTACTGGGGATTAAAATATCGTTTTGAAATAGTCAAAACATTTTTAAAGAAATCAAAATTCAGTGATGAAATCGAAATTCTAATAATTCGAGGTATTCTATAATGTTTTCTTATATTTTATTATATTTGCACAATTATTTCAAAATATTTCAAGGTATTTGAATATATTTTGATATATTTCAACTAATATTTTAAAAAATAATTTTAAAATTTTTTATTTTTTTTTAATTGTGGACGTTTCCAAAACTATTTCCTAGGTAACAAAAATAATACATTGAAACGAAATTTTGACTAGTGCTCAAAATATTCGATACATTAAATTAAATGATTTGAGTGAATTAGTGTTACACACAAAACATAGACTAACATGACCTAAACTAATACAATATAAGGGCATTTAATTCAAAAGTGTCTCACTCCTTGGTTTCTTGGGGGGGGGGGGGGGGGGAAAATTTTTTTTTTTTTTTTTTAAATTTGAATATGTAGCTCCTTTACTAAGTCATAATAGGCCCAAAAAAAAAAAAAAGTACTTGGGATTCAAAAAACTATCGGAAAACCATATTGGAAAAAAAATGTTTCAATGAATTGAATGCTCGATAGAGGGCATTTAATTAATTCTAAAATTCTCCTAGAATGTAGAGATTTACCTTAGTATCGTCGATATGTCCATCTCCACGTGCACCATAATCAATGACATTGTATATCGAAGAATTCGATTCTACTTTCAAGAAACAAGACAAAATTAAAACGAAGAAAGACAGAGCCCAAACTTTCATGTCTAATCTTGAAATAAAGTGGAAAACAAATTTACTAAGAAAATTATGAAAACAAGGTAAAGAGTTAACCGTATTTAATAACTCTATCTGAATAAAATGATCGACATAATAGGTTTTAAAGTTATAGTATGATTCATATACCTATTTAGTTCATACCAATAAATATAAATATGAAAATTATATCTCAAATGTCACGACCAATAAGAAAAGGTGCCAAAGAGGACATAAGGCTAAAGTTGTAACTTCACTCCTTGCTGGTTTACATGATAGTTGGTGATATGTTCAGATAGGGCTTGCGATGTTTTGATTGGACGACATTGTAAGACAGAGATCAAGAGATTATTGAGAGGAAACTGTTTGTTTGGGTTGAAAGGAAATTTGCAGAGAATAGGAGTCGGTAAAATTTAAGAACTCTTTGTTCTTCTGATCAATGGCCGTGACAGCAGCTTCTCCAGCTGCTTATCTTAGAAGCGTAGACAAGCAGAGTTTCTTCGTTCCCAAACATCGATTTTCTCGCCTATTTTCCTCTAAAGGCGCCCCAAGATTTCTCGCCATGGCACCCAAAAAGAAGGTACTCTATTTATGCACATACCCATCAATATATATTCTATTTCCTCGTAATTGATAACCATTTGCTCCTGTTTGGTTGCCTTGAAAAAGGGTATTAATTATTATATCGTTAGAACAAGAAATACATGCAATTTTCCTTTGGTTGCTGAGAAAAACAGAGAGCTAGAGAAAATTTCTGTCTCATGGAAGAATTCGAATCCATAGGTGAACAAGTACGATGAGAGCTGGAAAAAGCAATGGTACGGCGCCGGAATTTTCTTCGAAGGAACCGAAGAAGTGAATTTCGACGTCTTCAAAACGATCGAAGAACGCAAAGTTCTTAGCAATGTTGAAAAAGCAGGGCTTCTATCGAAGGCAGAGGAGCTGGGCTTCACTCTCTCTTCTATAGAGAAGTTGGGTGTGTTTTCGAAGGCGGAAGAGTTGGGGCTGCTGAGCTTGTTTGAGAAGACGGCGAGTGTTTCTCCCTCGGTGTTGGCATCGGCGGCGCTGCCGATATTAGTGGCGGCGATACTGGCGGTGGTAGTGATTCCGGGTGACTCCGCCGGGCTTGTGGCGGTGAAGGTGGTGGTGGCCGGAGCACTTGGGGTTGGCGCGGTTGGGTTGTTCGTTGGTTCAGTGGTTTTGGGTGGGATACAAGAGGCTGAGTGAGTGAATGCTGTACTGTACTCCTCTCACTCTCTCCCCCTCTATCTCTGTCCGTATCCCTCTATATGTTTGTTTTGATAGCTTGAGAATGTAAATTAAATGCAGGAAAACTTGTAATGAGTCATGAATTTTTTTACCCAATTTTCAGATTGATTGTTTGTGTTATTGATGCATAGAGGTGCCAAAGAGATTACACTTCAAATTGTCATCTCAAACTAATGATTTAAGTAAAGGATTGAAGGTTTGAAATTTTAAAATTGATATTGAAATTTGATAGTTGATCGTTGTATTATTTTAATTATTTTCGTTATCGAGATGAGTAATAGACCGGGTTAAAAATCGCATGATCTCATTAATAAGGATTTATTGGTGAATTATCGTTATGGGGTTATATTACGAGACAATGTTACACTGGTATAACTATTACACTTAATATTTACTTTTATTTCAGGATTAACTCGTCCTGTGGCATACTGTTTCAATTTAGGGTTTTCTAAAAAAATAAAGTCTAAAGTTCAGGCTTTTTCATTTTTATTATTGAGCCAAGGGTGAAAACTTTGGACACAACACAATACGAAATTAACGAATTAGAATTAATAATTTTTTAACATGAACTTGTAAAATGTCATGACCTATTAACACACGAATAATAAATGGTTTGAATTGAAGTTAAATACAAACAATACAAAATTGACACAATTAATATATTTAATTGGTATTTTAAGAATAAAATTTTTTTATTACATATTTATTGTACAAAAAAATTATTTTAATTATTATTTGTAATTAAGTTAATTTTTAATTTATTANGCTTGCATCATTGAACACTTGAAACTGCTCATCATCTCTTCATCATCACCAGTATAGATTAGATCATCAACATAAACACTGACAATAAGTATTTTACCTTCTTTGCTACTTTTTGTGAAGAGAGTCTGCTCATTTGGACATCTTTCGAAACCTTCATTGACAAAGTAAGTTTCAATGCGGCTGAACCAAGCTCGTGGAGCTTGCTTTAAGCCGTATAGAGCCTTATGTAACTTGTAGACCTTGTCCTCACTTCCTTTGACCTCATAACCCTTTGGCTGCTCAATGTACACATCTTCATCAAGTTCACCATGAAGGAAGGCTGATTTCACATCTAACTGAAATATTTTCCAGTTTCTTTGAGCTGCAAGAGCCACCACCATCCTTACTGTCTCCATTCTTGCCACTGGAGCGTAGACCTCGGTGTAGTCTATCCCATATTTCTGCGTGTAACCCTTGGCCACCAAGCGTGCTTTGTGCTTCTCAAGCTTTCCATGCTCATTATACTTGGTTTTATAGATCCATTTCACCCCAACTTTCTTGGCTCCAGCAGGCAGCGTAACCAACGTCCATGTCTTGTTTTTCTGTATGGACTTAATTTCATTGTCCATTGCCAATCTCCAGCTTGCATTCCTCACTGCTTCTTCATAATACAACGGATCACTTGATACCATTAGTGCCATATTACTTTCATCTTCAGATAACCCGAGGCCCTCCCCACTAACATAATCCCTCATCCATCCTGGACGATTTCCCACTCTCTTACGGATACTACCTCCACTATCTTCACTATTCCCATTGTTTGGAGATTCATTTCCTTCATCACCACTGCCAGTCTCACCTATATTTTCACCATTATTTCCAACCCTATCAGTGTTTTCATCTCCCTCACCATTATTATCACCTACTCCAGCATCATCATCTTCCCACTCTAAATTTACTAAAATTTGTTCTGCATAACTCACATCCCAATCCCATTGCCTATCCTCTTCAAATATCACATCCCTACTCACTACCACCCTTTTAGTAATAGGATTATACAGTCTATATCCCTTAGCTTCCTCACTAACACCCAAAAATACACAAATAGAACTTCTATTGTCAAGTTTAGTCCTTCGTACCTTTGGCACATGAACATGTGCTATGCAACCAAAGACCCGAAGATGATCAACAGAGGGCTTTGTTCCGCTCCACGCTTCTTCAGGTGTGATGTTTTTGACTGCCAAGGTTGGACATCTATTCAACAAATAATTGCTCCAATTTACTGCCTCTGCCCAAAATGGTTTTGGAATTCCCTTCTCTGAGAGCATTGCACGAACCATGTTCATTACAGTTCTGTTCTTTCGTTCAGCTACGCCATTTTGTTGAGGGGTGTAGGCAGTTGTCAGCTGCCTTTTAATGCCGTTCTCCATGCAGAAGTTGTTGAATTCAACTGAGGTGAACTCACCTCCCCTATCTGTACGCAGACACTTGATGGACAAACTTGTCTCATTCTCCACCATTTTCTTAAAACACTTGAAATGACTCAATGCTTCTGGCTTCTCACTCAGAAAATACATCCATGATTTTCTACTGTAGTCATCTATAAAACACAAAAAATACCTTTTGTTGCTGTTGGACATGGGAGTGATCGGTCCACAGATGTCTGCATGGATGAGACCCAATATTTGACTTGCTCTCCAAAAACTCTTCCTGGGTATAGGATTACGGTGATGCTTGCCAACAATGCAATCTTTGCACAACTCATCTGAGGCAATGAGATTAGGAAGGTCACGCACCATTTTCTTGCTCTGCAAGGTCCTTAAACCTTTGTAGCTTAAGTGTCCATATCTCCGATGCCAAAGCTGAGACAGATTCTGTGAGCTTGTGTGAAGACACTTTTCATGTAGTTGCTGAGACATCATTTGTGACTGGTCAAACAAGATGAACATCCTATTTGTGCTCATGTCAGTCTGAATAATCAAGCCCTTATGAGGATGAAAGATCTTGCATACCCTTTCCTCAATCAGAATTGCCAAGCCTTTCTCTTGAAGCTGCCCTATGCTCAGGAGATTATTTTTTAACTCTGGAACATAGTACACTTCAGTAATAATATGGTTAACACCATTAATTAGAAGCTTTACATCACCTTTTCCTGTCACCTCCATCCTGGTGTTGTTGCCCAGNATGTGTAAAGAAGAGTTGTTGGAAAAAATAGCATATATGCTAATTATAAGGTAATCCTGAACTACTCATGTAACTACAGTAACTCTTGGGAATACAAATTCCCCAAGAGCTGTAAGAAGAGGCCTGACAATATACAAGACCCTGGTAAATAACAAATACTAAGATTGGATGTAGTTTAATCAGCCAGTAATCTTCCTCTCTCTTGACAAGTAGGGAAGGCCTCAGATATAATGCCTGACTGGGACAATTAGACCTCTGAGGACTTATTTGCTATTTGAACTCCCTTTTGATCGTAAGGTCTTGTTGATTTGTACTTGTAGTTGTTAGCCCAAATGAGATAATGTAAGAAATTCAATCCACTTAATATGCACAATAGCCAGTAAAACCTTTCAAGGTGACAGTGATTCAAGTTGCCGTCATAGAGCCATGGGGTATGCCTAAAGGTACCAGTGATTCTGTTGACCATTGANCAAGGTGACAGTGATTCAAGTTGTCGTCATAGAGCCATGGGGTATGCCTAAAGGTACCAGTGATTCTGTTGACCATTGATACGAGCACTGAGCTGAGATAGTACCCCATGGCCAACGAGGCCCAGGAGAGAGCTGTGGCCAAAGATCTCATGGTGAAAGGGGCCTCTGTGAAGAAGAATTCCATCATGCCAGCCAAACTGAAAAGATCAGCTGATCCAAGGAACACGTATTGCAAAGCCACCCAAAGGAATGTGATGGGCAGTGGTTTGGTGGAATTCATTAGGCCTGACTGGGCTGCCACTCTCTTTCTCTTCATTTTCACTAGAGCTGCAACAACCATGGCCACAACGGATAGAACAAGCCCTACTCCAATTCGCTGTAAGTGGGTGATACCCATTTTGGTTCGTGTTACCTTTCGGGTGAATGGGATGATGATATGGTTGTAGACTGGTGCGAGTATCATAATGAACAGAACAGGAAATACAGGAAGAGAAGCTGGTGGAACTGTTAAGGAGCCAATTTTAGTGTTCGTGGTGGCTGCTTGTTGGACAGAAAAAGTGGATAGCTGAGCAAGGCAGCAGTTGAGCATAATGGTAGACATGAAGATCGGAAGGATCTTAAGTACTGTCTTCACATCTTCTACTTGGCTAACAGAGCAATCAAGAAGTGGGTGGGCAGGCTTGTTGATCACTGCTCTATTAAGGAACTTAAGGTTTCCACTTACAGGGTGATTTTCTGCATTTTCTTTGGCATGACCCTCTTCCCCTTCACTGCTTTCAGTTCTATAAGATGAGAAAGTGCTCATGCTCACAGCATCACTGAGACCCCTAGAATCACATTTGTTGTAATTGCAGCAGCCATAACCTGTTGNCCTTCACTGCTTTCAGTTCTATAAGATGAGAAAGTGCTCATGCTCACAGCATCACTGAGACCCCTAGAATCACATTTGTTGTAATTGCAGCAGCCATAACCTGTTGGTAACAAAGCAATGAAAGATATCTTTTCAGCTAAGAGTCGGCTACGTAGTTTTTTTAGTTAGGCTAGTGCTATATCTTGGCTATGGTTGTGATAGGGCTTCTTGTGGGAATTTTGGTCCTGTAAAAAGTAGAGCCGAGGAGGGAGATTGGGATGGAGATCAATATTGTTGCAGTGGAGATCCCAAATCCCCACTGCTATCCTTTGTTGTCTTCAATCCACACCACAAAAGTCACTGCAAGTAGTGCTCCACAGGAGAGGCAGAACACATAGTAATTGAAGAAGGTTGACCTCTGCTTTCTTCCATTTGGGGTATTCCCATCAAATTGCTCTGCTCCATGTGGGGGAAGTGAACCTTTTATCCCTCCAACACCTAATGCCACTACATAGAGTCCTACAAACAACATTGCTGCGTTCCCATGGTTGACTTCCTGGCAAGGAGTGTTTCTGTTGGCTGACATGCATGTTTCTGGATTCAGTGAAGGTATGTGAGCTTGCACTGTGAGTGTTAACAGACCCTGTTCCAAATTTTTCATGGGCATGTGAAATAAGATCTTTCACTTTCATAGCTGTGATAACCTGTTTAATACAGTAAATTTTATAGGCAGGTTCTAGTTTGTATGACTATGAAATGGGGCAAGAGTGTTGGACAGATACCTGTGAGGGTATTTTTACCACTTCAACTGATTGTTAAACTGCCGAAAGTACCTATATGTTTGGTTTCGTACATTTTGAAGTTTGACTCTTTAAGGATTCAGATCTAGTACGTGATTTTCATTCTCTTTGATTGCATTGGACTGTTAGGTTTTGCTAATTGTGCTCTTTTACATCCCTGAAGTTGGAACTATCTGTCTCATGACTATACAATAGGTTAATTGTATTTTAATATACTGCATGGATCAGAATTGTCAATTACACCAGCCAAACATCATACAAGAGCAATGGTAGTACCGCCTCTGGGACCTACTTTCATGAAGTGTGATTGGACCAAAGCAGTACGAGGCCCATGAATGCTTATTTGTTTTGTCTCTTTCTCTCAGTCTCAGATATTTTTATTGGTGAATATGGCTGTCCCCATGAGTGACAGAGTCATTTCTTTACACAAAATGTGATATTATGTTTGTAGTAGGTAAATTTTTTTTTTAATTTTTTTTCAGGTGGAAGTGCTTTTTCATGCTAGGAACTCTTAGCAGTACACTTCACATGCCTCTGTGTGAGAGTCCCCTGTATAGTTAATCCTGCTAGAAATTACCCTGGCGGTTCTACAAAATGAGTCATATTCACCTATTGGCTTCTGCCTATTTAACAGTTATCTAGAAAAGGGACCTAACAGAGCCTAGTTGGTTCTTGAATGCGAAGCTTGTGGCTGTAGTCACTGATGGCCACGATTCAATATGAAGATGCTCTTTGTGCATCTTGTAATGGTTTTCACTGACTGCCATCTTGCCACTTGAAAAATGGGGGTTTTATCTTGAGGTTTCAGGTTTAGCGATACCGGGGACTATGGTAAATGGTAGCATGCAGATAACTAGATAACGTCACGGAGCTGCAACTAGAACTTGTGGACCTTTTTAATCAAGTAAATAAAACAAAATGGAATGAGAACTTAATCTTTAAAGTCAGCTTACCATAACTTCGATTGTAGCACTTATCAGATAGATGCAGTATGTGGTGAAGAAAGCATCTGCTAGGAAGCCACCAAGGAGAGCAAGGTGGAAGGCTGTTCCCATGAAATTGGTCACAATGTCGGCAGAACTGGATGGCAAAAAATGCATGAATTTCGACAGATAAAGCACAAGTTTGCTTGCATTGGCCAGGTATGCTAAGTTCTCCAATATCTCAACCACTAAAGGGTGACAGTGAAACAACAGCAGATTAGTCTTTTAATGTTTTGTTTGGTTATCAATTAATAAATATTGTAATGAGGCCTTGCTTATTAATAAAGGTCTTCTACAACGCTTAAAGATTTTAGACAAACAAGTTTTAGTCCGGTGGTTAGTGGAATAAATGTGAAGAATGTGCCTACGGTGATAAAAGTTTCACTAACCCAAGACGAAAGAGGCAGCCAGCATGCCGCCATGACGGCCTTTAAAGGCTGGTCTGTTTCTCCAGTCAACATAGCCTTCCCATTTGTCTAACTCCTCATCCTACAATAAAAATCAAAGGAAATTTATAAAAACAAATTGTAAATATGAGGAAACCAAGACCCAAAACAAGAAATGAAATGAAGAAGAATAAGGCAGGAGTTCCACCATCTCTTTGTTTGGGTTTTGATTATAGGACACTTGATCAGAAACTTTTCCAACTTAAGAGGGAGTGATGGTTGGTGTCATATTTATATACGTGGAGGATGGCAGTCTCCAACTGGAATGGAAAAGTCTAGACTGGATGAAAATGACTATACATGCTCATCGACCACTTTTCCCTAACAATGGTGGTGTAATTTGTCCTATCCCAATCTGTACGTGAGTGCATGCATACACCTCTGTCTGGTTCTCTCTCTCTCTCTCTCTCTCTCAGAGACACACACACACACACACATCCTACATACCCATGATGTTCTCTCTTCCCCCGGTGTATGTGTGTGTGGGAGAGAGATATACGCTTTTATACTAATCCTAGATTCACTTCTTCAGAACAATATGTGTTGGAATTTAGAAATATGACCAAGAAAATATGACTCAAATCCTCTTGTCAATGTAAGTATATGTTTTCTCACCTTGTAATTAACTTAAGTATCCTTTTCTGAGTTTGGGTTGGGGTACTGGGACTGGTAGTGCATTTTACCCAAAAATAACAGTTCGAAGAAAAATTGTATTTGTTTATAGTCTTGTAAACAGATGGAAGAGTTTGATGTTTTTAAAAGGTGGAAAGACTTGCGAAAGGGGCATGGAATTTGAGGTAATTGATTGGCTGAACAGAAGGTGTGATGTGATAACTGTTCCACATATATGCAGCATCAGGGAATTGAGATTACATGTTGAGATGAGATTTCATGTGTCTTAAAATGAGGTCATGATAACTGTGTCAAGTACTTGTAGGTAAAGTTAAAGTTTAGCTTCTTAGATGCAAACACTACACCTGTCCTGATACTTACTCCGACAAACACTCACTATGTTGTGGTGAGACCACTGTGTCTTTTATCTAATCTCCATATATCCAACTTTGTCTTCTTGCCCTGTCTTATCTATCTAATTCTGATCTTATGAAATTTTTTAATGGGCACTGGATCAGTAAATCAAGGCCATTTATCATGACTATGGCTCCAATTCAAGTGATATCTGATAAAAAAAAAGAAGTGATATCTGTCATTTATTATGTCCATAGGGATCTTTATCGATCCACATATGTTTCCTCTTCCTGCTGCTGGAGTTATCTGACTTAATGCCAATTCATGATGTGGTGATCTATGGTTCCTCTGTGTGGCATGTACAGTTTTTATCTCTTGATCCTTCAAATGGGTGGATATAATTAGCCCAAAAAATTGTGGGGTTCATGATCTTACAGATCTCCAAATTGGATTCCAGGAGTCCCTTCATGATCGGTCCTGCCCATTTAGCATTTAGTTCCATGTATTGCCTTTATGTTGTA